AGCGGCATAAGCACCTGCCTTGCAAGCAGGCGGTCGTGAGTTCGATCCCCGGTACCGATAAAAATGAAAAAAGACCAAAAAAAAAAAAAAAAGTAGATATACAATTTTGAGTAGTTTTATATGATTGTGAAATTTAGAGAGGAAAAACTATGTGTATTTGAAAGAAACAAATTCCACTGCTGGCAACAATTCATTTTAGATATCAGCTACCAAATACATATGATAATTCAAAGAGGAAGTAAGAAGTTTGCAGTGTGGGGGTAATATGCATTTGGGAAATTAAGTAAAAGTAGATGGAGCAAGAGAGGAAATTGAAAACAAAACTTCCCTTTCACTGTAGACTGGTACACACTCTCCATTTGTGTTTCATATTTAGGGCGAATATGGTTGATAGTTGACTTTTTTGTTGATTTACAGGTAATCTAATTTCATTGTGGGGGTGGTAAATCTCATGTCTTGTTTATTTAAAAGAATGTATGTGCCTTTAAAAATCTCCAGTGTACAGTATCATTGGTTGTCACTTCTTTTTCATTTTTATTTCTGTATTCATTTTTACTTTTATTCTTTTATACTTTCACTCACTTTTATAAACTTTTTCTTGCCATATGTATTAAACTTCATTTTCATTTTACTAATTTATTATTATTCATTCTCTCTATGGTTTGTTTGTTTGTTTGTATGTTTGTTTGAAATAAGGTCTCACTATACAATCCAGGCTGGCCTTGAGCTCTCTGTGTAACCCTGGCTGGTCTCGAACTTGCAATGCTTCTACTACCTTAACCTCCCAAGTGCAGTGATTACAAGTGTGTGCTACCACAGCTGGCTCAATTTTTTTCCTACTTACATACTGTCCTTCAATCCATCAAAGCCCATGTTCACTAGTTAGCCTACTAGTCTCTTTGTGGAACTGATTTCTTTTTTTTCTCTTAATACAAACTGTGGTGTAGTAGAACTCCAAATAAAAGCTGTAAGAGTTAGATGATAAATTGATTAATTTGATCTTAAGCAATCTGTAATACTTTTATTTAATTATAAAATTTCTTCAGTTATAAAAAGAGTAATTGAGCCTGGCGTGGTGGCAGGCCTGTAACTTTGGGAGGCTGAGGCAAGACAGCCTGGGCTACACTGTGAGTTTAAGGCCAGTCTACACTACAGAGTGAGACCATGTCTGAAAAAAACAAAACAACAAAAAAAAGTATTTGAAACAAAATCTCCAAGGATTCTCCTAGCTCTCAAATCCGGTGATTCTATTGTTTTTACTTGCCTGTATTTTCTCTTGCATTGCTCCCATTCATTTAATAAATATTTACACACCCACTATCATGTGTTTATAATGGTCACATATTTGAAGGAATCAGAAGATTAGAAGACAAGATTCCTGCCTTTGAATAAATTATAAATGTATCCAGAGACGAGCAGTAGCTGTATATTATTGCCTAGTTATTTCTAGGCTGTTCCTGTTCTGTCAGAACAGATCCATATTTTCAAGACAAGACCAGTTACATTAACAGCAACATAATTTTCAGGTGAGGGGAAGAATTGATCTTGAACAAAGTATATGAAGACTTTTTCTCATATTCTTATATCTGGGAATCCTCACCGTAGTTGCTTTGCTTATTTTACATCATCAACTTGTTTCTAGTGTAGAATTTACCCATGACAGGAAAATTTGTTGCAGAACTGGGAGTGATCTTCATTGTGATTGGGTAGATGATTGATCATTCTCAGTCCTCCTTTTGTGTGCATGCATATGTCTTTATGTTTGTGTAGTCACATTCCAGTATATTGTTCTAGAGACTGAGTAAATGTTACCGGCAAGTATTTCTATACTTTATATGTTTATCCTTTATTCTTTAGTTTGTTTCTGCATCCATTTTGAAAGGAGTCATGGTTTTAGAAACATATTTTACTCTCACAGTCTATATGTACTTTCTGGTTAAAATATACCACCACTCTGTCAGCACTGTAGGAGACTAAGGAGGATCACAGGTTTACCCCTAGCCTGGGTAATGTAATAAGGTCTTCTCTCAAAAATAAAAAAATATAAAATGAGCTGGGGATATAGCTCAGTGTGAAGGGCCTGCATTCAATCACAATACCTCAAAAAATGTGTATGTATATATGTGAACTGCATAGAGAGACCCTGTCTCAAAAAGACAAAAAAAATTATTACCACAAACAGTACACAGTGATTAGGGACAGTGACATGGACTGGTCTGGAGGGAAGTTTGTGTGCTTATAAAAAGGCAACATCAAGGAACCTTGTGATGGAACTGCATTTTGTCTTGACATTGAATACATATTATTATGTAGAAATGATAGTCTCATCTGTGTCAAATGGAAAATCAACTGTAATGTTTTCATTTTTTCATGGAAGTCATGGAATCAGAGTAAGGTTTTTGGAAGTTCATGCTATCAGAGAGGAAACTTTCAATACTATTATAAATGCAACTCCAATTTTAAAGGTTCAACATTGAAGAAAATGATGTTTTTTGAGTAATAATACAAATGTTAAGTTTAATATAGTACAGTGTGACCAAAACAGTGTTCTTGATAACTTCAGAAACTTAAAGTAGCATAAAATGTGTATGGCAATGTTTGTAGCACACTCATCATTGCATCCAAAGAAGCTTGGTGGTTGATCAATGTAGTAACTAATGCTCAAAATTTACCAGTATTTCTGTACAAATAGTATATATTTTTTGAGACAGGGTCTTGCTATATGTGGTTCAAGCTGTTCTTGAACTTACTATGCAGTTCAGGCTGATCTGTAACTCAAGGCAGTCTACCTACCTCAGCTTTCCAAGTGCTGGGATTACAGGTGCATGTGGCCATACACCTAGCCACAAAGTGTATTTTAACTAAAATTTTTGTGACAATCTAATGTTGAATTTTTAAATTTTAATTTAGCTTAATTTTACCTTCTAGAGACTGAACCCAAGACTCCAACCCTTTTAAAAATTTATATCTTGAGACAGGATCTCACTAAATCGTTAAGTTGTCCGGGCTAAGCTCAAATTTGTGATCCTCTTGCTTCTGCAACCCAGAATACTAGGATTATAGACATGAATCACCATCACTCCTGGCTTAATGCTGAATTTTGCTTTTTTATTTTTTAATTTGCTTATACAAATCATGTAGAACTTTAGTGTGCTTCCCATATCCTTAATTCTTTTTTTGGTCTTTTTGAGACAAGGTCTTGCTGTGCAGTTCAGGCTGGCCTTGAGCTCACTTTGTAGCCCCCGTTGGTCTTGAACTCTCAGTGATCATCCTGCCCGTGCCATGTGCCACCATGACTTAATGCTGAATTTTTTTAAAAAGTTTCAGTAGTTCAGTATTCACATTGTCTTTTTGCTACCTGTTAGCAGTAAGATTTTGGAAATTTTTGAAAAATATACATACTATTTTGCATTTCTTGCCTAAAATTGTTCACTGAGCCTGAAGTAGAATGGTGTCCTAGTTTTAAAAAATATATATTTTATCCTGACCATTTTTAGCAGCCCAGAATAACAGATGTTATACTTACATTATTTTTCATTTATCCTTTTCAGTCTGCATTTCAAGAAATTTTGTCAAATTCTTGACTAAGAATAATTTAGGCCATTTCCTTCCTTCATTCTTGCTTCCCATGCACATACATATATCCAGGGCCAGTTTAGTTAGGTAAATATCATCCCTGTTTGTAGCTGCTGTTTTCCTGTCATTAGTAGATATTCCAGTTAGCTGAAGCTGTTTTTCTTTCTGCTGATGTTTGTGATCTCTGCATTTCAGCTTGTTTCTTGAAAAAGCTTTGGATACTTATTGAGACTGTGTGCATGTGCGTGGGCGTGTGTGTGTGTCTAGCATTATAAAGCTAAATGTATAGTACATTGATACAATACAGATGGTCTGTCAGTGACACCATTTAGTACTTAAAATTACTCATTACTGGGATAGCCGGGTGTGGTGGCTCACGCCTGTAATCTCAGCACTTGGGAGGCTGAGGCAGGAGGATCATTGTGAGTTGGAGACGAATCTAGACTACAAAATGAGCTCAAGGCCAGCCTGAACTGCATAGAGAGACCCTGTCTCAAAAAGACAAAAAAATTATTACCTAGACCCTGTCTCAAAAAGACAAAAAAATTATTACCACAGTTTACTAAATTATTAGATTTAAAGAAAACATTATAATGACATTAAACCCCTTTATATGTGGCTTATTATCCTGCTTACAAGAGTTTGGCTCTTTGATGAGATCCGCACTATGTCTGTTATTAATGATTTGATATAACTGATTCTATTTAAGGAGTTTACAATTTATAATAGCCAGACCTTGTGATACATGCCTGTAATCCCAACACTCAGGAGGCTGAGGCAGGAGAATCACTGCAGGTTTAAGGCCAACCTGGACTACAAAGTGAGTTCAAGGCCAGCCTGAACTGCCTTGTGAAACCCTGTCTCAAAAAGACAAAAAATGGTCAGAGGTATAAGTGTCTGCCTGGCAAGCACAAGGTCATGAGTTTGATACCTGGTACCAAAAAAACAAAACAAAGCAATAATAATAATAATAATAATAAAAGAATACTTGTGGGCACTGACTTCTTTGAAATATGTGTATATGGACTCTGTATTTGAATTATCTTGTACAGTCTTGTTTATCCTTTAGGAATGAGGCATTACACATAAATCTCCTAAAAGCATGCATTTTGAAAACCTTCTCAGCTTCTTGCTTCTGTACATGTTTATTATTTTTTGCTTGCTGTTACTCTTTTGCTTTGTCACCATGGTCTTACTCTCCCTTATCTGGCGTTTTTAAAGCATGTATCTATTCTTGACTGAAAAATGTTTAATGGAGGAACTAGCATTTGAAAATGACTCATAGGCTCTTAATCACCTGAACACAATTCATGTGGTCATTTCGTGTAGAAATTGTTAACACAACTTTTAAATATCCACAGGTATATAAGGGAAATATTTGACTGTAATTAATTTAAGCCCAATTCTTACTCTTTTTAATACAGTATTTCTCATACTTTGAGACCTGCAGAATTCACAAACTGAGATCTGGTATTATTTTCAGACAGAAATCTTCAGTAATGTGTAAGTAGTTTTCATTTTCTGTTGTGATTTATTTCAGTTTGCTGTTTTCTGTGTTAAACATAGTGAAACCTGAATTTATGAGAATTCTTAAGGATTTGAAATATGTTCACCAAGTAGTAATTACAAGGAAGCAGGGACATCACATTGATTTTTGAAAGATGTTTTAAGAAGTTTCTTGGATTAGTATAATTCAGTACTATTTATTAGAGGCACAGTCCTCGGCATAAAGAGTAGCAGGGTAAGAGATCTGAGTTCTTGCCCAAGGTCTGTTACTAACACATCATGAAGTTTCAGTAGTTCACCCTCTGTGTTTCAGTTTCCCTGGCTATAAAATGAATATCCCTGCCAGATACCAATTCCTATCATATTTTTATAAGTCAAGAATTGGTTGTCTTTCAAAAGAGAGTTGTCAGATTGCACATTTATGTTTTAAGTTTTGATTTTGAATTTAATTTTTGATTTTCATATAGAAGGGTTCCAAAGAAGATTTGGGATAAATAAGGCTTGCCAGCTCAAGAAATCCCCCTCACTTAACCCATGAGGGTAAAGAGAGAATAGAATAGTGGCTATTAACTTCTGCGCAAGGAGCTCTTGGGGAGAGACTGGTAGGGCAACTTTGGGCAGGCTAAAGGCATGGACATGCTGTCTGGAAGGATGATGGGTGAAAAGATGGCTAGAGGTATAATGAAACTATAGAAACAAAACTAAATGAGAAACTTTGAAGGCAGAAGCTGTTACTTTTATCTCAGTTGTCATTGTCTCCTAGAATAGTATTAGATTTTAATGAGTATATATCAAAAATTTATTGAATGAAGCAGATACATTACTTACCCAGTACATTTCTAATTTTGTTGAGTGTCCTGACAGTGGTAGTTATTGGACCCTAGATTCAAGCCCCTACTTTATTCATGTCAGCGGTTATAGTTGTTTTGTTTTTGTTTTTTGGTACCAGGAATTGAACTCACAGCCTTGCGCTTGCCAGGCAGATGTTTATGTCGCTGAGCTAAATCCCTGGCCTCTAGCAGTTTTTTAAGTTTTAGAAAAAGGATCTGAATTATAGAAAAAAAAAAGAAATTGTTTCTAAAAAATTGTTTCATATCACATGCTTGAGGAAGGTTATGAAATAAACAATCATTTAATAAATACTTTGAAACTACCTACCCACTATGCTTTGGGGGGAATGGAAAAATGGGGTATTGATAGCATATATTTTCTGTTCCCTCCCTTCCCCATGTACCTGGGGATTGAACCCAGGACCTTCACATTGGGTTACAACCCAATCCTTTTTATTCTTTTTGTTGTTGTTAATTTTGAGAGTGTATCACTAAGTTATTAATTTGCTCAAGCCAGGCTGAAACTTGCAATCCTTGTACCTCAGCCTTCCAGTGTGCTGGATGGGGTCAGTATATACTTTTTTTTTTTTTTTTCTTTTTCTTTTCTTTTTTCCGGTACCGGGGATCAAACTCGCAACCGCCTGCTTGCAAGGCAGGTACATATGCCGCTGAGCTAAATCCCCAGTCCCTAGTATATACTTTTTATGTGATATAGTATTTTGAAGTCATTTAATATAATTATGAAGATTGGAGCAATTTGTAAAATGCTTATTAAATACACAATTTAAATGCTTAATATCCCCTGGTTGTAGCCAGGTACTAGGATCAGGATATTGTCTGTTCTCAAGGAAGACCAAGGAACATGCTGAAATACAAAGCTGAATTATTGTAAATAAGATTGTTAATTTTATTTTCTTTTGGCTGCTCTGTGCAAATTATAGTTTAAATGAAAATCCATGTAAATTTGATTTGAAAAATAATGGTGGACATGGAGGAAACAGTATATATAGTAAAAGAAGAAAAGAACAAAACTATTTGAAGAACAATATATTAGATTATCTTGTTTGAAAGAAAGATGAAGGTCTAGAAATGATCTTTGGCTTTTTGTTTTTGTTTTTATTTTATTTTATTTTATTTCTTTTGTGGGGAGTTACCAGGGATCAAACTCAAGACCTCATGCTTATCAGGCAGATGCTTGGGCTACTAAGCTAAACCACCGGCCCTTGATCTCTCATTTTAATAATGTAGGAAAAAGAAGGGCTAGAACAGTGACAGTGAAGCTTTCAGAGCTTTTAGGGATAACAGCTGTGGGATAGACACATGCTGTAGGTTTGCCACCACTGAGCTAGGATAACTAGGAAAATGTGTTTGTTTGTTTGTTTTGTTTTTGTCTTTTTGAGACAGGGTTTCCCCTGTGCAGTTCAAGCTGGCTTTAAGCTCACTTTGTAGCCCAGACTGTTCTCAAACTTGCAACAGTCCTCCTGCCTCAGCCTCCCAAGTGCTGTAATTATAGACATGCTCCACCATGTCCAACTAAAATGTGTTTTTTTTAAAAGCAGAAAATGTCTTCTACTTTATGTGAAGTTGGTGGTAGGGGTGGACTGGTCCATTGTTTAACTGACCATTTTTGTATCTTAACACTGGATTTGTGACTGTCAAGTCTGTCTGGAGGCTTTTGCTCCCTTTGCCATTTCAGTAACAATTAATCATTCTAAAAACACTTTTCATGTTCAGAAGTTTTTGTGTTTTGTACATTTTAAAAATGTTTCCTATGATTTTCTCTCTTTTCTTGTCTTAGAGTTAGTTAGGTAACAAATGTTTAATTATTTTTAGCTAATGAGTGAGATAAAAAAATCTAAATTGATTAGACAGAGAGTGAAGGGAGAAAAATCAGTCTCCACTGGTTGTTGAATGGATAAAAGCCTTCTTATTAATGACTTCCCAATTTAGTTTTCTTGGACATTTTTGGAATGGAGAGCAAGCACATCCTTCTTATTTTCTGTATTCAAAGAAAATAAAAGTAACAATTGTTTAGGAATACTAATTATTCACTCTATTATATTAAAGATACTCAGTATTTCCTTTGCGTTTTTCACAGTGTCTTCCAATTAGCTTCTAAACCCCACATTTACTTTTAAAACACTTGGTTGATGTTGTGGTTGACACACTATGTCAACTTGGGAAATTTAGAGTAACACGGTCTGTGGTGGTGTGTGTTTGTAGTCCCAGCTACTCTGGAGGCTGAGAGTGATGTGTTGGCATTTAACAGTTTTCTCGGAAAAGCAGATTATTGCTCTCTTTTTACTATCAGTCTAGAAAGTGTTTCTGAAAAGTCTAAGCCCTTAAGCATAAAGGAATTGCTGCATCGGAGCCATATATAATAAGTAAGATAGATAGGAATGTTTAATCCTTCCTTAGGCTCATAAGAAAAAATAATGAGACTGGTAGTAAAATCGGGTTCATTACTCAGATAAACTTGAGAAGTACTGCTGCCTTTGACAAATGACTACTGAACTTTAATTTTTCTCTCTCTCATCCTCTTCTCTTCCCCTCCGAGAAGTGCAGCACCCTCTCTGAGAGATAGTAAATATACAGTAGAGGTGTATACTATATATACCTAATTTGCTTATTCTTAGAATCCTTTTTTTGCACATATTGGAAGTCTGACACGAAACACTTGGAGAAATCGTGTTTTTGATTGAAGTTTTTTCCTATAATAGCTATATAAATATTGACAGTGCTGTGGAGTGTTTTCTTCTAAAAATAGAATATAAGTGATACTGTACAACTTGAGATTTTACTATTCAAGTATTTATAATAAAAAATTCTACTTTGTATATTTTTCTTCAGATTCATTATAAGCGTCTATTACTGTTATCTCTTTCCTGCTATTTAAAATTCTTCTGTTTACATCTGCTAAGATCAATTTGTAGTAGATCTTTTTTTCTTGTATTTTTTTGTGGCTTTAGAATAGGGGCTCATCTTCAGATGGGCTTTATGTGTTGGAAACCTGGGTTGAGAGTGTTGCCCTCTAGAGCTTTTTGCATTTGCTTTCCCAGGGCTATCAGTCGCCTGAGAATAGTTTTATTAATTTCTCAGTTCCTGGTTCCATGCAATTGACTTGAACTCAAGCCATAAATCTGCCTTAGCCAACAGGCAGATTGAGGCAGACGTTATGAACTCTTGGTACTAGTGGATGGATTTTTTGTTCTTGGAGGAGTGCTGAGAATTAAATCTGCATGCATGTAGTAGGCAGGCACTCTTCCACTGAGCTACATCCTGAACCCCAGGTTGTGGGTTTTTAAAAATTCACTGTTTAGCACAGGATATGTACAGTGATTTGAAACCTTTGGCTTTATAAGGGTGTCTTATCTCCAATTCCCTATCTGATGTGCTTCCAAAGCTTTGTTTCTTATTCCTGTAAAGCCTTTAAAAACAAAACTCCTCTATTATTGAGATCAGCAAATTTCCCCCATCCAGTATTAGCTTATTATAGATTATATTCAGGTTTTTGGTTTCTTCAGTGTTTTGAACTCTGAGAATTTCCATTAGTACATTCTTGGAAGTTAATCTGCACATCTGAGAGGAATTTTGTAATTGTTTACTTAGGTGACTTAGGTGTCTATGTTATCAAAGTTGGAAATGCATGCATTACATTTATAATAAATAAAAATACTGAAGATATTCTCATTCTTTTAAAAAACAGACATCTTTTGTACTATAAAGGTAAAATATATAGTGTAACAGTGTGAATATTAGGGAGACAGCAGACTTTTTGTAGTTTTTTTGTTCTTATTTGTACTCCAGCTATTTATATTTTCTTGACTAAAGATATAATACTTTTATTTTCCTTTTAGATGTGACCTTATATAATGGAAGATGATTGAAGACAAGGGACCTCGTGTTGCTGACTACTTTGTTGTCGCAGGATTAACTGATGCTTCAAAGCCTCTTGAAGAAGAAATTCACTTCAATGATGCTTGTCATAAAGTAGCTAAACCAAAAGAACCTATCACAGATGTTTCAGTTATCATTAAATCTCTTGGGGAGGAAGTGCCACGGGATTATATATGCATCGATGTTACCCCCACTGGATTGTCAGCAGATCTCAATAATGGGAGTCTTGTCGGACCCCAAATCTACCTTTGCTATAGAAGAGGAAGAGATAAGCCTCCACTTACAGATCTAGGGTAGGTATTTTTAAATGAATTATTGCTACTGATCCAAATAATTTTGTTCATTAGTAGAGGTATGGTAGCTTTAGAAATAAAATAGACTTATATCCAGAATCTTGTGTTCTGTTCCTGTTTATCTTTTGCTTCTCTTTGTCCTATAGGTTCCCAGCATTCTGATCTTTCTCTTAGATGCAGGGGATAGAATTTGAAAAACATTTACAGAAAATTACCACATATTGATGTATTTTCCTGATCAGAAACTTTTAATTTTTATTACTTACTTTTTGAGACAGGATCCTTTTTTGTTGCCCATGCTAGTCTCAAGTTTCTGGGCTCAAGCAGTCCTCTATTGAGTCCAGCTTTATTTATTTTTAAAGTAAGGAATTGCTTTTAAACACTCTGTAATGACTGTTTTGTTTTTGTTTTGTCTTTTTGAGACAGGGTCTCATTATATAATGATTATTGATGAATGTTTAACTGTGTATCAAAGAAAATCTTGGGATTCAGAAGATACTTACATTATTGAATTTGGGATTGTTTTTTGTTTACAATAACTTTATTGGCTTGCTTTATTAATTATTATATAATTCACCAATTTCAAGTACAATTCAGGGCCCAGGTGTTTAGCTCAATGGCACAAATGCCTGCCTGACAAGTGTGAGATCATGAATTTGATCCCCAGTACCAATAAAATAAAATAAAATTCAGTGTGTCTTAGAGTACTCAGAATTAGTAGCAATCACTACAATATATAGAATACATTTATCATATTAGAGAAAAACTGCACCCTAGTAGTTGCTACCCAGATTCCCTTACCTCCTTAATCCTAGACAGTCACAGTTTATGTCGGCCTATAGATTTTCTTATTTTGCACATTTCATGTAAATGAAGTCATGCTGCTATATATGGTTTTTCACTGAGGATATTTTTAAGGTTCATCCATATTACAGTGTGTGTCAGAACTTTATTCCCTTATATGGCTCAAAAGTATTCTACCATATGGCTATACCATAATTTATCCATTTATCAGTTGATGGATAGTTGGGATAGTTCCACCTCTTGACAGTTATGAATAATGCTGTCAATATTCATGCATAAGTTTTTATGTAGACATATGTTTTCATTTTTTGTGTGTGTATACCTAGTAGTAGAATCACTGGGTCATATGGTAATTCCCTGTCTAACCTTTTGAGGAACTGCCAGAATATTTTCCAAGGCATCTCCACTATTGTGCATTCCCATAGCAGTGTGTGAGACTTGCAGTTTCTGCACATTGTCATTTTAACTATAGCCGTCCTACTGGATATGAAATGGTATCTCTTTCTGGTCTTGATTTGCATGCGTCTAATGGCTAAAAGTGTTAAACATCCTTTTATGCTTGTAGGCAAAAGACATTATTCAGATCTGTTACCCTTTCAAAAATTCAGTTGTCTTTATTGTATTGAGCTCTGAGACTTCTTTACATATTCTAACACAGTTTCTTCCTAGTTATATGATTTGCAAATACTTACATTCTGTGAATTTTTACTTTCTTTATGGTTTTCTTTGAAGTCACAAAGCTTTGATTTTTATAGCTGAGTAGGGTAAAGCATAGATGTTAATTACAGCCTGAGGTGACCCAGGTAGTAGTTGGTGCAGGAATTGAATTCAGTTGTTTCTCATTTCTCCATGATAGGTACTGCCAATTGATTTAGAGACAGAATTTCATATTGTAGTCTAGGCTGGCTTTGAACTCGCTCTCTACCTTCTTCTGCCTCTCAAGTGCTGAGATAATATGTGTGTACCACCATGCCCTAAAAGATCAGAAAGAAGACAAAGCACTTAAGCTAAATTAAGGTTAACACAGTTGTTATGATTGAATGTCAAATTTAGCTCTGAATTTTCAGTAAAATATTGCTGATAGCCATGAGCAAAAGAAGATTATATAATTAATGGAAAGGTATGATGGTTTTATTTCTATTTTTTATTTTTTTAGTTGTTGAGGGTTGTTTTTGAGGCAGTCAGAGTCTGTAGTTCAGACTGGCCTTGAACTTACTGTGGAGCCAAGAAACTCATGACTGTGTTCCTGCCTCGGCTTCCAAGTGTTGCAATTACAGGTGTCTGCCACCATATCTGGATATGTGATTATTTTAGAAAGAAACAACTTAACCAATTCTTGACTCTAGACTTTATTTGTATAATAGGATTTTATATGAGGAACTATTCGTCAGTGTTGAGGATGTTACCTGTTATAACCATTTCATATAAAACACAGAAATATATCTAATATAATAGTATTTTTAAGAAATGCCAAGGACAGTATTAAAGTCAAATCTATGACTTCTATGAGGAGAAAAACTAATATTATTAAGTGGGAGATTTTCTTGGTGTTTCCCAGTACCATTTTTTAGGGATAAAAAGTGGATATCAGGGGGCTGGGGATTTAGCTCAGCGGCATAAGCACCTGCCTTGCAAGCAGGCGGTCGTGAGTTCGATCCCTGGTACTGATAAAAAGAAAAAAGAAAAATAAAAGTGGATATCAGGCCTGGCCTTTACTGAAAATCTGTAGTTGTTGTGACAGGTAAGAAAAAAAGTATCTTTCACAGACTTTTTTTTTAGTGCTCGGGGTAGACCTAAGGCCTTGTGCATGTTAGGCAAGTGCTCTACCACCAAGCTATACCTCCAGCCCTCTCTCAGAGATTTTTAATTAAAAATAGATCTGAGGTTATTTTCTCTTGAACTAAAACTCCTTTTGAAGCTAAGGGAAGTATTAAAGAGGACTGGGCATGTAACTTACAGTAAAATTGTAACTATGGCCAAAATCCAAATTTATTTTCTTTTTCCTTTCTTCAGTTCCCTTTCCTTCTCCTTTCTCTCTTTCCATTCCTTTCCCTTCCTTTTTGTTGAACTGAAGATTGAACCAGGGACTCTGTACCACTGAATTATAGCCCTACTCTTTTTATTTTTTATTTTGAGACAGGGTCTCACTAGTGGAGCATGAAGGACTTAACTTTCAATCGTCCTACTTCAGTTCCCAAAACAGTGTGCTAGTTGCTTTTTCTAAGATGTTTTCAGGGACTAAACATATTAAATGCTAAACAATGAGGGGCTGGGGATACAGCTCAATGGCACAAGCGCCTGTCTGGCAAGTGCGAGTTCCTGAGTTCGACTCCCAGTACTAAATGCTAAGCAAGGGTCTTTGTATTAATTGTTGCTATTTTCTGGTTTATGTTAACGAAAAAGTTTATTTGCATTTTTAAAATTTATATTTTTAGTATGGAAAAATACTTATCCATTAATTTTATATAGGAGTGTACAGTTCAAACTTGCAAAAACATACAGAATATTGTTACCACAGGTGCACTTTAGGATGAGTTCATAATGCCTGAGAATATTGCCTTTCACATTTCAGGGCGTCTTGTATATATGATTATTTATTTTTTAAAATTTGCTTTTTAGGGTTTTGTATGACTGGAAAGAAAGACTGAAACAGGGCTGTGAAATTATTCAAAGTACTCCTTATGGGCACCCTGCAAATATCAGTGGCAGTACCTCGTCACAAAGAATATATATCACTTACCGAAGAGCCTCTGAAAACATGACTCAGAACACACTTGCTGTCACAGACATCTGTATTATCATTCCAAGTAAAGGGGAAAGCCCACCACACACATTCTGCAAGGTTGACAAGAATCTCAATAACAGTATGGTAAGTGATTCCACATTGAGAAAATTAGCCACTGTTTAAAAGACCTTAATTTTGAATCTTTTCTTGAAAACTATAATTATACAATCAAAAAATGTTTTTGAAGATGTTGGTTATTTTACTTTCTAAAAAATATATCTTGTACTTTCAAAGGAAGCTACACCAAAAAAAGTTCTTAAGAAAAACAAAAGCTTTTCACCCTACCTATGAAAGTACTGTGCTAAGCGTGGCTGGCTGTAACCCTGGCTTGTGACATAGATCCCATACTAATACACAGCTTTCAGACAAGGCTTTGGCAATTCTTCCTACTTTTTTTGAATGATCATTTTTTTTCCTTATCAGATTATTGTTTCCAGCATGCAAAGCATATTGCAGAATCTTCCGTCTTCAACAAAACTTTCTGACCTCATATCCCCCTTCCTCCATTACCCCATTTTATTATTCTTTACAATAAAACTTTTCAAAAGAGTTATAGTCAGTCCTATTCTTTACTTTGACCCTTTCCTATCAAACTTTTGTCTCCGTTTCTCCACCAAGATTTCTCATTTTGAACTCAATTTTCTTTCTCCGTTGTTCAGCAGGTTTTGACATAGAAAATCATTTTTTTCTTCTGGCAACAGTGATAGAAAGAGAAGCTGTGTTCTGTTCTTATGTGCTTGTTTGTTTTTTCTCCTACCTCACTGCCATCTCCCAGACTCCTCTGCAGTGAGTGCTCTAGGGTTCACCCCTCCCTCCCCTGCCTTTTATCTTTGCCATCTACACTCACTCCCTTGCTGATCTCATACAGGCTATGGGTGGGTGATGTCTAAATTGGTGTGTCTAACCATACTACTCTAATTTGTTATCTTTTATTGAATGTCTTTCCTATTAAAGAGCATCTTAAATTCAATACATCGAGCACTAAATGCCTCTGTGCCTTTCCAAACCTGCTTATCCACACAGACATCCTTGTTTAATACATGGAAATTCCACTTTCCTAGTGCCTAAGGCTAAAAAAACCTTGGGGTAATCTTGACCTTTCTTTCCTAATTCTTGTTCAGTATTTGTAAACTCTGTTTAAAACCAGACCATTTTCACCTGTTTTGTTGCCACAACTCTAGTCAAAGCCATAGTGATCTCTTAATGGGATTATTGTAACAGTCTCCAAATTGGGAGCCAGACAAATTTTTTTCTCTTAAGAGCTAGATAATAAATTATACTTTGCAGGCCATTATATAGTATTTTCCGTCCCATGTTCATCCTTTAAATTTTTAGACAGCCCTTAAAGTGTGAAAACTAGTCGTAGTCATTTTACGTTGTACACATGTACCAAATTATTACGCTGTATTCCGTAAATATACACAATCAGTATGTCTCAGTTTAAAAGAACATTTTTAGTTGAGTATATGAAAACAGGCCTTTTGCCAAAGGTAGGCAGGCCATAGTTTGTTGGCACTTGATCTAACTTATCACTGCTTCCAGTTCTGTTCTCTGTCAGCTATTCTTCTTAATAGCAAGAGTGATCCTTTTAAAACATAAATCAGGTCCTAGCACTACTTTGCTTAAAACTTTAATGGCTTTCTGACTTCTTAAAAGCCAAAGTCTGGAATTGTCAGGGGTGGGGGATATATCTCAGTGGCATAAATGCCCGCCTATAATTGTCTTCTTTATCTTTGTTCTTTATTGCTGTTTTCAATTTTAAAAACTGTTTTTTTACATTATGAAGTAGAAAGTGAAAGTTCCATCTTTTACCAGAGAACAATCTTGTTTCCATTGCCTATAATTTTTAAAACAATTTTAGATCTTTGGAGTAAATAAAGAACAACTCTTCTCCAACTCTTTTAGCAAAACCACAATAGACATGCAACATAGGAAACTTTTTTTTAATCTGTCAACTATATGTATAGGGAATCAGGAAGTGATTGCCATTAAAATCTTTTGAGGTGTGTAAAGATCCAACTATATGTAGCCTACTTTTGGTTGGAAGACTAGGCAAATTAAATGAAACCTGGCTAGTAGGTTTCTAAATCAGAAGCTGAGAGAAAAAGTCAGTCAGTGAACATGAGGCAATAGTGTGCTAAATATTTGTTCTAGGTTTATACATGAATTTGTTTTGTATTAAGTTGACTATGACCTCAAAAACTAATTTGCTGGGCATGGTGGTGCATATCTGTAATCTCAGCCTTTAGGAGGCTGAGGCAAGAAGATTGGCATGAGTTTGAGGCTAGCCTGAACTACATAACAAGACCCTTTCTCAAAAAAAAAACAAAACAAACCAACTAAAAAAACAAAACAAAACAGAAACCAAATCTTCCCCACCTCATTATTTTCAAAAATCACGAATTTTTAAAGCTAAGACTGTAAGTCTTAAATGATTTGGATTTTGAATTGATTTTGTAGTAGATAAACTGATACTATTTTAAAGGTGGATAAGGATTTAGCATGGTCATATGACCCAAAACTGTAAAGCATTGCAGTTAAAAGTATTTGATCTAGGCAGATTAAATTACTTGCTTTGGTTTACATAGCTCATTATTGGCAAATTTGAAACTGTTTCATCAGTGTTTTTACTATCATTGAGTTTTTAAAAATATTCTATACTAGTGACTTGTTTTACAGTTTTCTAAGAATATCAGCATATGGTCCAGCAAGTTTATTTACGTCTTTATTTATTATTATTATTTTTTTTTTTGAGACGATATCTTCCTATGTAGTTCAGGCCGGCCTTGAACTCACTGTGTAGCCCATCCTGGACCCCGAAGTCCTCCTGCTTCAGCCTCCCATATTCTGGGATTACAGGCATGTGCCACAATGCCAGACCAGCAACTTTATTTATTTAGAAAAGTAGAATTGTTAGCCATTTAATGGGGAGGGAGAAGTTTGATACCATGGATATCAAAATTATAAAGGATATGTCCTAATTTTTCATATAAGATTTTAAAAAGTGACCACTTGTCACCTGTCCTTGAACATGCAGCAATCCTTCAACCTCCCTATGCCCGGCTGTAGTGTGCTTACTCTTACATTCAAAGTGTGTTAGAAAGAACATTTGAAAAACAAAAGAGGAAGGCCTAAAGGAAGAAAGGCTTATAAGAAATGGGTACACCAGGGCCAGCGGTTTAGCTCAGGGGCTCAGGTGGCTGCCTGGTAAGCACAAGGTCATGAATTTGATCCCCAGTACCAAATAAAAGAGAAATGGGTACACCAACACTAGCAAAAAGTGTTAAGTACAACCTGATGCAAAAGAGAGTCAGAAAAGTTAAAAAGCAGGTATTAGGAATTTTTAAAAAAGAGTAGTTTATAGCAGTGTCAGATAGGATTAAATGTTTTCATAGATCTTGGTAGTTTTTAAGGTCCTATCATAATTGATATCCATATTATAATTCTAATAAGCTTATCTTTGTTAAAATCTTTTAGTCTGCTAAGAAAATTTCAACATGAGGCGCTATTTCAGTTTACCCCCAATGATCACGAAAGGGAGGGTGTCAGGGAACAACCTGACTATCCCTTGGTAGGGAATGAATACACTGACTTGTTCATCTGTAGAGTACTCAGCTATCTAATAATTAAGATAAAGAAATTGCATTGTGATACCAACTTTGCAGACTCTCAAAAGACATATTAATGAGTACAAAAAGGAAACTTCAAGAAGTTATATTCAGTTACATCATCATTATTTAGAGTTAAAAAGCACACCATATATATATATATATATATATATATATAATACATGCATACATACATACACACTTACATACAAACATACAGTGTATATTTTATAATAGAAATTTTAAAAGTGCATGTAAAAGAATGTGCTCTAGTTTTAGGCTAAGTTGTTGACTCAGGAGGAGAAAAACGGATAAAAGATGGCACTTTAGCTAAACTTGTAATTTTTATTTCTTATTAAATATCTGAAGCAAATATGACATTGTTAACATTAAATCTCATTGGTGAGTACATGGATGTTTCTGATAGTATTCTCTGAACATTTAAAATATTTCTCAACATAAATTTATTTTCTCCCTGTATTTGTCTTTGGTGCTCTAACTCTTCCCTTCATGTGCTTGTTATGTAGGTATTCTATCATGCATACAAAAACATATCTTTTCATGTTCATTCATTAAATATATTTATTAAACACCTTCTACATACTAGGCAGGGAGGACTGTGTAGAGTGAAGGATTGTTTATTACTGCATACAAGGTGCTGAAGGAAGGGCTTTCTGGTAGAGACATTTGAATTGAGACTTAAAGGAGATGAGGAAGCATGCTACATTACTGTATCTGTAATTACCTATATGTCATGTGGTAGCATCTCCCAAACTTTCATATCCATTTCAGACTTCTCAGCTCCGTTTCATTCTTCATTTGGATTTCTAATAGAAGTTTCAAACTTAATATGACTAAAATTGAACTCCTCAAGTCTGAGCAATTTAAGAGACCCTATCTCAAAATAATGATGGTGGTAGTTACAGTCAAGGGCTGGGGAATGTAGCTTGGTGAGAAGACCCCAGTTCTGCCCACAGGACTTCTGAATTCCTTCACTGCACAGTCTGCTTTATTCACAATTTCCATTGTCTTAATTGAACTTCATTCTTCCCATTGCTTCCCTAACACCTTGGTGTTACTGCGTGCAAGGGTGCAGTTGTATAGGAAGGATAACTTACTAATATTACTATATTACTAATAACTATGGTTGACAGCAATTAATTGAATATTTCAAAACAGTGAGTATACAACACTATGTCCCTTTCAGCCTAGAAAAGCCAGATTGGTCATGGCCCATTTCTCTTTCACAGCAGTTCGGGATACTTCTTCAAAGTGGGGAGTGTTACAGGCAGCTAAGCTAGTTAGAAATATTATAGGCAATGAGACAAGGCTAGGCCCTTGAAGAAGCCAGCACAGCGGACTACATGTCTGATGACACATGAAGGGGACACATACCTCTTTCTGTGGGCCAGATCTCAGGACAGAAAGCAAAACAAACGCAACCACATCCTTAAGTATAATCCTTAGGGATTAAATCTGGATCATCTTGAGAAGACAAGAGTCACCATCCCAACCCCTTATAGGAAGAGTTATTGACTTTACTTGTGTCCCCATTTGTCCCTGATTTGGTGAGTTTTACCTAAATAATTAAACTTACTGGTTGACCATAGCTCTGTCTCATCCCATCTCAAAAGTTCCCAGTTTCCCCCAACTTTAGACCCACCTCACCTCATGATTTTACTCTATAAAAATCCCTAGAAAATATAGAATCTTTGGCAACCCACTCAGGATCCCTTCTCTCTTTCTCTCAGACAGAAGCTTTCTTTCAATAAATATTTTTGCTCTTAACCTCAAAAAAACAATTTAAAATAGCAAGTATAGAGGATTTGGCATATTTTTTGTCGATGTCCGCTCCCGGCCGGCAGGAAGGACACACGACAGAGTCTGGCAGTGGACAACCTTTTCTTTTATTTTCCTTCTCCGTACAGCCTGCCCTGGGATCGCTCCCAGCCGAAGCCTCCTCTGGTCCGCTCCCCGCGGCTCCTTCCGGGCTTCGCTCCGAAGCCTCTACCGGTCCGCTCTCCGCGGCTCCTTCTGGGCTTCTACTTCCGGGCTTCTCCTTCCCCCCAGGGGTGGCACCAGTATATATACGGATACAGTGTCCAATCATGTTAAAGTAAGCAAGGCAAGCTGATTGGCTAACATCATCAGTTGCCAGGCAGACTATATTGTTGAGCGGGTTGCTTACGCGGTAAGCAGGAAACTAACGTGCTCGATGGGAGGGGTAATCTACCTCAGGCTTTGCTCTTTACTACAGGCCTCACGTCCGCCAAGTGAGGCGACCGGGCTCGGGGCTGCGGCTCCCAACAATTTTTAACACAAATAAATGACACATCTGCGACTGATCATTATAGATTTTACAGATGTGTTGGAATACAACTGTATACCCCATAAACAGATACAATTATGATTTTCCAACTAAAAAAAAATTTCTTTAAAGAAAACCATATCTGAACACTGTACTCGTCACAAAAAAAGAAAAAAAAGAAAGCCAGTATCTTCTTTGACTCTCATACTTGTTATCTAATGAAATAGGGTGTCAGTATTATCTCTATTTTCAGAATATCCAGATTCTGACCTCTCTTTATTATTCCCACTGCTACCACCTTCATGCAAGCTACCAGTATTTTTAAGCTATCGACCTCAGTAGTTCTCTAACTGATCTTGCTTCCTCCCTAGTCTCCCCCACTTCTCAGGACATTCATAGTCACTTTCTCTTGAAATCAGATGATGCCAGTCTTCTCAGAGCCCTCCAGGGGCTGTCAGTTTCTATCAGATCTTTGCAACATTCTACAAGGTGCCCTGCATAATCTGGATTCCACCCTCTAACACTGTTCCTCTTCTCTGCTCACATTGCCACTTAAGCTTTTGGAGGACAACAATACCTCTGTTACAAGGGCCTTTCTACTTACCTTTCTCCCCACCTTCAAACCTCTGCCCCAAGTTTCATTTATTCACAAATTCTTTTTAAGGCCCTACAACATGCCAGCCACTGTTTTAGATACTAGTGATAATATAGAATTTAGAGCTTTTTGGGAAAGTTTGGGGAGGAAGGGTAATAATAGATCTGAAACAAAATTTTAAAGTAGGTTTGAAAGTGATAAATGCTATCATAAAAAGAAAACTAGAGTGTTGTAAAGTGGAATGGGGTTATGGAGAATGAGTTGTATGTAGTGAGCCTTAATTAAAGGCAATATTTGAAGTCAAGAATTAACTATTCAGATATAATAGGCAAAGAATATTTTAAATAGAAAAAAAATTCTTTGCAAAAGGCCTCACAGAAGGAACATTCCTGGCATGTGAAAGGGCTGATTATGTAAGACTTTTAGGTGATTGTAAGAATTTTGGCTTTTATTCTAATGAGATTGAAGTTTTGAACAGAATAGTGACATGGCATGACATTTGTTTTTTTTTAATTAACTGCATATTTTTATTTTGTGAAAAATAATACATAAAATAATAAGAGTAGCAGTAGTTAATACACTGTCATTATCTTCAATATACTTACTCAGATACAAGACAAAACCAAAAAGATCCTTACAACAAAGAAACAGATAATAACACAAAACTTTTTAATGAACTAAGATAAACTATTAATGTAAATGAAGCAAATCAGCATATAGAAATATTTTTAAAACAATGGACATTTTGGGTTTTTTAAAAAATTTTAAATTTTATTTTAAAGAGAATATAACCAAACAAAATGAAACAGAATAAAGTGAATCAAGATGGATATTATGTTTAAAAGTCACATGTTTCTTGAGTAATTTGTAGAAGCAAAGGTAGAAAGAGGAAGATCATTTTGGACATTATTGCAGTCTGAAATAGTGGAGTTACAAAACTATCATTAAATTGTGATAACAACATTATATATTCCTTTTAATTATCATAACCTTACCCTTTTTTTTTGTTTGCATGGTTTCTGTGAGAAATGTTTATTTCATAAAGCTAATTTTTTACTCGTATTTCACATACTTTCATTTACATATCTAGTAATTCCCTACTATGTGTGAGCCAAACACAGCTTGTAATAATAGTGATTTTCTTAGAAGAATAGGATAGAGTAATCAAGATGCTGTTTAGGCTTGGAATGGTTCTCTGAGGAAGGGGCATTTGATCCAAGACCTAAGTAAATGAGAGAATGAGCTCCAGAAACAGTGTAAAGGTCCCCACATCGCAATGTACTTCAGTGTGTTTGAACTAAGACAGGCAGGCAAATCTGAGGGATCTGGTCACAGCCTGCAGAGATCATATTATATAGACTGTGGTTTGCTATGAAGAGATGCAGTTTTATTTTTATGTAATAGGAAACTCTTGATGAGAGACATGATCTGATTTACATCTAATAGGCTCCCTCTGGCTGTGAAGAATAAACTATTGAAGAAGACTGGAAACTGAGAGTTTGGTTAGGAGGCTAGAGGAGCAATCTGAGTGAAAAAGTGGTGATTCTTGGGTCAAGAAAGTAATCCAGTTCAAGGTGGATTTTGAATGTAGAGGTGATAGAATCTGTAGATGGATTGGATATGATGTTGAGATAAAAAGAAAAGTAAACTGGGTCCTTAGTTTTGGGACTCAGTAAATGACAGGGCCATTTCCCAAAGTTGGAAATACTGAAGAGGACCAGACTTGTGTTATGGTTATCGTGAATATGAGGTTAAACATAGAAGTCTCCATGACAGGGTAGGCCTTTGGATGTGAGTCTGGCTTCGTGGCAGTGTTGGTAGGGTTTTGAAGCTGAAACTAGAAATTTGAGATTCCTCAGTGAGTGGCTACAACTGAAGAGGCATCATTTAGAGAAAGTAGAGAAAAGAGGCACATTTGATAACCTGGAAAAAAGAAAAAGTTCTACAAAAGAGACTGAGGAATGGCCAGAGATTTGATGGGGAGGGACCTGGAGAGCATGGTACCTCTTAGTCAAAGGAAATGATTGACAGGTAGTCATCAGTGGTACCAAAATGCCCTGAGAGGCTGAACAAGATGAAGGCTAGGAATCAACCATTAGTGCTGACATTGTCACAGATATTAAGACATTCTCTCCCCTTTGCCCCGCCCCGGACTGGCAGAGCCTTCACACTAAGCTACATCACTGGCCCATTTTTTATTTTGAGACATAATCTTGCAGAGTCACTAAATTGCCTGGGCAGGGCTTGAACTTTTGATACTCCTGTGCCAGCCTGGCAGAGTGCTAGGATTACAGGTGTGCATGCCGTGCTTGTCTGTGAAGACATTCTTTAATCCCAGTTTGGAATGGATTCAGGAAAGGATGAAAATGGATATAAGAAATTACAACTCTTGAGTTTGGCATAAAGGGCTTCAGAAAAATATGGCATTATCTGGAAGGGGTTTTACTGTCAAAAGGAAAGTATACACAAGAGTAAGTATTTCTTAATTTATCACTTCTATTCAAGGTTTGGACTTAGAATAAAATTTAAATTGTCTTAGTTTTGTTTTAAAAAACCCAACTTTTTATTATGTTGTTGCTATTGCAAGGAGAAAACAGTGCTAAATTTTACTTCTGAAAGAAAAGTAGGCAATGACTCCTATAAAATACTACAAAGTAAGTTGAAAATAGCAGAGAAAATTCTACTACATCTTAGGTAATATATACTGGGGAACTTAAAGAGGTTTTATTTTTAACATTATTGCCTTTTAAAATTCAATGTTATTTCCCTTTTTTAATTCAGTGGGGCTCTGCAGTGTACTTATGTTATAAAAAGTCAGTGGCGAAGACCAACACTATATCTTACAAAGCTGGTAAGTATAATTTCTCAAAGAATACTTTATCTATAAAAATGAAGAACTCAGGAAAGTTAAAGAAACAGACTTGACTGTGATATATTAGTATCATCCAACCCAACTCCTTTGATTCTCAGTTTTGTCTTCATTCATGTTTTTGGCTCCTGCATGGATGATTAATTTGACAAAAAAGGTAGGTTTAACTTTTTGAATTAGTAGAAAGCATGGAAAAAAGATTTTTCTTTAATGTTTCTTTAATATTAACACTTTAAAAAAAAGCTAATGTCCTACACTCTTATCTTTCTCTTTTCCCTTTAGTTTTCTAATATTCATAATTCATCACAATTTGTGTACTTGATTTATAACTTTGTACCTCATGACTTGAGAGTAGTATACTGTTAACTGTAGATCTTCATGGCTAACAGAGAGAATTTTAATACTACCTTGAGCTGAGCATGGTGGTATACACCTATATTCCTATTTAGGAAGCTGAGGCAGGAGGATTACAACTTTGAAGCCAAACTGCAAATTTGATTTAGTGGCATCTTATCTCAAAATAAAAAACAAAAAGGACTGGAAATGTAGCTCATTTTAGAACACCCTTGGGTTTAATACTCAGTATCTCTCACCCTCCCAAAATAAAACCTTCCTTGTACCTTAGTTCATCTCAGATGAGAAAACTAGACTTATTCAAAATCAGAAAGATACTAATAGTAGAACTATGCTTATTCCCAACTTATTGCTTAATTTTTGTGCCCCTGTAAGGTCATAGGTTCCACTTACCCTTAAGATCTTTGAGGTCAGAGAGCCTATTTTTTGTTTCTAGTCCAAAAAAACTTTCAAGACCCTGCTCCTGTTCAAAAGAAGGTACTGGACCAATTTCTTTCTTTCTGTCTGTCTTTTCTTTCTTTGTTTCTTCCTTCCTCTTCCTCCTCTTCCTCCTGCTCTTCCTTCTCTTCCTCTTCTTCCTCCTCCTCTTCCTCCTGAATCTTCTTTCTTCCTCCCCTCCTTGTTTTTGTTTTTTTTTTGTTTTTTTTTTTGAGATGTGGTCTCACCTTGTAGCTCACACTGGCCTTGAACTCACTGTGTAGGCCCAGGGTAGCCTCAGACTTTCTGCCTCAGCCTCCGAAGTGCTGAGGCTACAGGTTCTACCATCACACCCATCTGGACTATTTTCAAGACTCATTTATCTAACATGAGTTAGATATCAGTTGAAACTTTAATTTTCATATAATCTAGGGTTATTTAGAAATAAACACAACTGAGTTTGTGTTGATACTGTTGAGAAGACATTTTAAATAAGTGACTGCAGGGGCTGGGGATTTAGCTTAGCGGCATAAGCACCTGCCTTGCAAGCAGGCGGTCGTGAGTTCGATCTCCGGTACCAAAAAAAGTTAAAAAAAAAAAATAAGTGACTGCTAGTTTGATGAATAATTGCCTGTTTTTTGCCCTATAACTTACATATGTACAGTATGTATTTTACTGTATAAAGCCACTTGAGGGAAAAATTACTGAGAACTGATAAAATGGGTGTATACAAATAACCATATTACCATTTTTAAAAATGTACTTTAAAATAGTATGAATTTGTAGGAGTGTGTGTGTTTTTTAGAAAATTCTCTTTGCCTTGTTAGCTTTCACTTACCCTTTGGTTGAAACTTGATAAATATTAAGCTGTTAATACTAATTATAATGTTTGAAGATTAAAATCTATATGAATTCTACTAAGTTCAAAATTATTTGATGATCATATTTACAATGTTTGACTTTCCAAATGTGTGAAATAGTAAAGCATCTTATTCAAATTATGATCACCTAAATTCAAGAGATCATCAACTTAATATCATTATTTTGTAGGTCTAATTTGTAGATATCCTCAAGAAGATTATGAATCATTCTCACTACCAGAATCTGTTCCCCTGTTTTGTTTACCAATGGGTGCAACTATTGAATGTTGGCCACCAAATAGCAAATACCCTCTGCCTGTATTTTCTACATTTGTGTTAACCGGAGCCTCAGCCGAAAAGGTACTATGTATTTCAACAAATGGTATTGACTAATTTCTTGTGTATTCCAAGTTTTAACTTATTTATAATCCAAACAGCAGTGGAAAAAAATAATTGGTTAAGTTGAATCCATTATACATATTTCTTCTATTTGTTTTTTTTTTTTTAATTTTATTTTGAAAGTAGTAAAATACAACAGAATAAGACAGAATAAAGCCAACTAAGATCACACAGTGAAATTGGTACAGAACTTCACAGTAGGTTACCGGGACAACAGTAATAGTGTATTTCGTTACCTTTACAGTAGTTGTTCTTTCAATCACATATATCAAAATAAAATGAAATACAGAACATTATAGAACTTATGAAAACAGAATATTGAATAGAGCAGTACCATTAATCAGAATAGAGCAAAACAGTAATAAAAATATTTGCCTTCAAAGAGATGGTAGAAGGAAATCCCCCTTATTTGCTGTGGTCAACCTCCCAGGTGATGCTCAGATTTCTGGTTCCCATTTGCTAATTGAGGGGGTGGGGAGACAGGAGAAGGTGGGTACAGGAAGTGGGATGTTTGACTCTAGGCCGTGCACTAGTAGGTTCACTATTGCTTAGCAGGGAGGCAGGCTGGTTGTTTGCTTTCCCAACTTCATAAGTTCCAACATGGTGTGGAACTCAGAAGACACTGGTGGTTCTCCCCGTGGAGGGGCTGTAGTCTGCCACACTGTAGCCTTCCATAGGAGAGAATTTTCATTTTGACCCATCCTCCCAATACTTTTTTTGTGAATACCATGAAAGATTACTTTCAGCGTCAAGTGATTCTTCATTAGTTTATTTACTATTTTAAAAAGAAAATAATGCAAAAGTCATTATTAAAGACATAAATAACATTAAGTATTTAAATACATATTAAATCATAATTAAACATGATTTAGAATTAGACTTTTTTTGGTGATGCTGTACATATTGAACCCAGGGATGAAGGAACCTTGAAAATGATATCTGTAACATTCTCATTTCATACATGAGGAATTGAAGTCCAGAGAAATTCAGTGAATTACCCAAAGATTGGAATTTGTATTGCCTAATTGAATATTCTGTCTTTCTTCCTACCAAATAATTTTCAACCATTTTCTTACAGAGAACATAGTACAGTTGGTTTTACTCTTTATTTTTAAAATGCAGTTTATGGGCTAAGGATATAGGTCAGAGGTAGAGTGCCTGCCTACTGTATGTGGGGCCCTGGCTTTATCCCCAGCACCTCGTACATAAGCAATGTAAATGAAACTCCTTTTGTTCAGCAATGTGGACACACGGAGAATATTACTGTCTAGTTGTCAAATGCATCAAGAAAGAGAGAGTGATACCTGTTCACCCCTGTGTTTTTAGTCCCTAGCACCTTGCCTGCCTCATCTACTAAATATTTAACTGATTTTAAGTAAATGATATGAAGTGTGTGTGTGTGTGTGTGTGTGTGTGTGTGTGTATTTATTAAAAATAGTACTTGTTTTTCAGGTCTATGGTGCTGCTATTCAGTTTTTTGAACCATATCCTGAGGAGAATCTCACAGAAAAACAGAGACTTCTTTTAGGCTTGTCATCGGCAGATGGAAAGTCTGATAGTTCCAAAACAATTCACACTAACAAATGCATCTGTCTTCTTTCTCACTGGCCTTTTTTTGATGCATTCAGGAAGTTTCTGACTTTTCTGTATCGTTATTCCATCTCTGGACCTCATGTCCTTCCAATTGAGAAGTAAGTAGGAAGTTTCTTGGTTTAAATTTTGGCAGATCTTTCCATTATGTGATACATTTGTAATCAAGTAAATTTCATATGGAAATTGGATTTCTTAATTCAAAAAAAGGTTTCGTTGTTTCACTTAATATCTTTTCTCAAGTAATGTTTTATTATTTTAATTTTTTAAAATAACTTTATTTGTAATAATGAAATAAATGTTTTGACTTATTTTCATTTGTTGTTGTTGTTTGACACAGGGTCTGTGTTGTTTAACTTGGTCTTGAACTTACTGTGTAGACCAGGCTGACCTTGAACTCACAGTGACCTTCCTGGATAGCCTCCCGAGTATTGGAATTACAGGAGTGTGCCCCTACACCTGGCTCTTGACTTACTTTGAAATGAATTGCTTTGAATAAATGTTTTCAGGCTTTTAAAATGTTCTTATGAAGTTGAGAGACTTAATCTGGAGAAATGCTGGAACTCTCTTCCCCCTGAGAATACTGGAGGTGAAAACCAGATCATTTGTATAAGGCCCCAGTTCACATTGCCTTTATTTTTTGAGACAGAATCTAAACTGCTAAATTGCACACAGGCTTCACACTTGTGATACTCCTGCTTCAACCTCCCAGTATGCTGGCATAGTCATACACCTTTATTTCTACCTGAAGTGATGCAACTAAATTCGTAATTCTTAGGTATAATTTATGTTTATTACATACCTTTAAAAAAAATTAACAGGGCCAGGGATGTAGCTCAATGGCTCAGTACCTGCCCTGGCAAGCATGAGATCCGGAGTTTGATTTCCAGTACCAATGAGTAAATAAATAAATAAAGTTGACACCCACCAAAATAAACGTCTCTTTTTTTATAAAATTTTTTTTGGTACAGTGTGGTGGGTTGAACTCACGACTGTGCACTTGCAAGGCAGGCGCTTATGTTGCTGAGCTAAATCCCCAGCCCCAATAAACTTCTTTAAAACAAAAGAAAAATGTGTCGTGCTATGAACCCTGATGCAAATGAGATACAAATATCTCCATTGTCTGTTGTCTTAACAGTCCCTTGGCTTCATTTTGAGTTCTGGTATTTTATACCATCTGTTACCTAAGCTCTTTTGTGCTGTTACAGAATTTTCTGACTAGTGACAAATGTGAATTAAGAGAATTATCATAGGTGCATCAGTGTACAGTGTTACTTTTAATTTTCCTCAGTCCTGTCAGCTCTCATCTCAGTATTCTAAAGTAGCACTTTTTAAAACTTTTTCGTCTCAGGATCCCTTTATAATCTTAAAAAAGAACTCAGAAGAGGTCTTCTTTATGTGTTATATCTATCGGTATTTACTAAAATAGAAACTAAAACTTAGAACTTTAAAATTATTTACTTTATAATTCATTTAAAAAACAAATTTATTACATGCAGTACTAATATAAACATCTTTTTTCGAAAACAGCTTTTCAAAACAAGTGAATAGAATAGCATTTTTTACATTTTTGCAAGTCTCTAATGCTTAACTTAATTGAACACAGCTGGATTCTTATTTGTGATTCTGCAATCAGTCTTGTAGTAGTTGTGTTGGTTGAGTGTACGAAGAAAATCTAGCCTCACACAGATGTAGGCAGAAGAGAAAGATATTTTAATTAATGGATATTTTTTTGACACTACACTAAAGTTAGCTTGACAAGTGATAATTTCTTACAGGTTATTTTCCAGTGTAGAATCTGAAATTTTATTAGTAAGTTTCCTTTTTGTGTTACATTAAAATCTATTTGTTTAACTTTTTGTGTGGAGCTTTTACTCATGCATAATTTTGTTTATTGGTTATTTGGAAAATACTTGTTCACTCAGTTAAGTGCTTTCAAATGTAGACATATGTCATCATCAGTATAAAGTAGCCACATTTGTTAGTATCACCACTTGTCTAATCAAAAGCTTTTGAGTATAGAGGAGTTGCCAGGTACCTGATGGCAAAATTCTTATTTTTCATTTGAAAGTTTGAATTAATACTGCAGGTTATTTTCTATGAAGCACCAGGCTCACTTGCTCATGGAAAATATCTTCTGAGCACCCAACACTGTATAACCTTAATTTGTCAGTCATCTTCGAAGCAAAAATGGCATTCTGTGAAGGGAAAATACCACCTCATTCACACCCGACTCAGTTATTTAAATGCTTTTCCACAGTCAGATAACCATTATACTGATGTGTACAGTGGAAGCGTTTTAGATGTACTTCTCTTTGTATCACACACAGTATTTTAAAAAATGTATATCACAAAATCAAGATTTAATAAGATTAATGTGTATTGCTTCAAAGACATTCTTAAATGAAACTGCTGTTCCTTTCACCAAGTGTATAGCAGTAAAGAACACAACTTCTATACAGTTTGGTGCCACTGCTGCCTGGTTTCTCATTAAGTGCCAGCAGTTTTATCCAATGGTTTTGGACCACCCATGCAGTTGTCAACACAGTGAAAAAGGAAAAAAGGAAAATGGGTCTTAGTATCATCATAAATAGTTTTGAATTTTCAGATTCTTCTTGAATGGATATTGGAAGTTTTTAGTGGTCTGTGAGTCCCACTTTGATTTCTGATATGTCTACTTCAGATCATTCAGAGAGATATGTGCCCTGTGCTTTGTATTCCTTTTATGTTTTTTTCCCCTAGATTGTGACTTAGTGGTAGACATTGGTACCTTTCTACCTTTGTTTTGCATTTCTTCCCATGTCCAGCAGTGTCTTATAAATAGTAAGACATGTTTATCAATTAATAAATTTCTCTTCCACCTTTATCCAGTTGAAGTGATCTCATTTCAAAAAATGAGATGATTTTGAAATAATGTTTAAAGGAGAAACAATAGAACAGTTTATTCCTAGAAACAGACAAAAAAATTTTTTTTAACTATGGTTGCCTTTTTTTTCTCTAGAGTTCAAAATAAAATCCATTGACTTAGTGTTTTGTAAATGAGACTTGAACCCAGGGCCTTTCTCCTGAGCTGTAGGCCCCACCTTTTCCTTTTTTATTTTTAGGGTCTCCCTAAGTTTCTAGGGGCTCAAACTTATGAACCTCCTACCCTTAGCCTCCTAGAGTGTTGGAATTTTAGATCAATATTGCCCTGTCTGGATTATCTAGCTTTTTATCATTTTAAAAATTATAAAAATAATAGTATTGTAAACCTACTAGTAGAAAGTTTATTCATCATTTTTAAACTTTTATTTTTCTAAAGCACGTTCAATGCTTGTATCACTTCCATATTATGAGCAATTGACTAAAAATGAATTGTTTTGGTAATGTTCAAATCACTGATATCTTATATGTTGTGTTGTATCTTGTGTATTATCTATGTAGAGAGGGAAAAATTCAAATGACTTTTGAGACATCAATAACAAAAACATTGAATGTGAGAAGCTATTAATGTGAGATGTTATTAGACTTTTACAGACAAAACTATAATGGGCAAATGATTTTTGGTGTTCATTTATTTTCAAAGTATTAGGGTTTTACATAGGGCTTTTTACTCAACGTGGATTTCTGATGCTATATTAACCTTTATAGTATATGGTTTTCACTTTGAATCAATTGAATTTTGTTTTTTTTAAAGGCATATTTCTCATTTTATGCATAAAGTTCCTTTCCCATCTCCTCAGAGACCACGGATTTTAGTTCAGGTAAGACTTTCTTACTCTGAAGGACATATGAATTATTAATGGGTCAATCAAAATGTAACATAATAATTTTAAATGGGGGAAACTTGAATGGTATTTAAAGGGAACCAGACATTATTTTATGTTGGGAGTTTGGGTCCTTCATGTTTTAACTTTCTTCCAGACAGCTGGTATTTTTCCTTTAGAGAAAGGATTGAAAAGTTAAAGTAGATAAGAAGTAATTACTTTGAATACACAGAAAGGGACAAAATTGGTTCTAGGTATTTGAAAATTGTGTGTGCCTTTGGAAGTCATTTACTGAGTGAAATGTATTAGAATGAACATGTGAAAAAGTTGTATGTGTTAACATATATTACACAGTGAAGGAAGGAAGACCTATCTCTGTTATGATGAGAGTGTTTAAAATGAATATGAATTATTTTCTGTATGTCTTCCCACTTAAAGGTATCTTTCCACTTTTGTCTATATTTGTTTGTGTTCTTTTTTTTTTTTTTGTCTTTTTCGTTTTTATCGGTACCAGGGATCGAACCCACGACTGCCTGCTTGCAAGGCAGGCGTTTATGCCGCTGAGCTAAATCCCCAGCCCCTTGTTTGTGTTCTTGATAAGTTACCTGCTTAATCATTTATGAAGTGATTTATATAAATAAAATATTTCCATGTATTTTCACTGTATGTCGTTACCGTGTTTATTGCAGTCCTTAGAGTAGTATCATTTAATAGTTAAATTCGTTTGGCAAATATTTGTAAATTTGTGATATTCTGCATGAATTGGAAAATGTAGTTAAAATTAGTTACCAATTAGATTGACAGAGATAAAATGTCTAGAAAATAACATTCTGATGACTTTTGTAATCAGTCATCTGTGTATCTGTATGTTATCCTTGTCTTACTCTTGGTATTTAGTGCCAGAATATATGTTGCACTCTCTGAGTACACAGAGATTTGTTTTGTAGCAGAACTCGGCAAACTTTTTCTGTTATGGACCTTATACAAAATATTTCAGTGTGTATATCATCCAGTCTTTTTTGCAGCTGCTCAGCTCTGCTGTTACAGCACAAAATCAGCTAGATAGCATATATGGCTATAATCCAGTGAGAAGTGTTTCCAGAGACAGGCAGTGTGTGGTCTGCATTATAGGCAGTAAGTTTGCTGATGTTTAGTTTATGCTACTAAATCAATAATTTAGTCTTTTAATGTAAATTTGTTAAATGGAATAGGGAAAAGTTGAAGATAGAAGAAAAAGAATAGAATTCAGAGTAAAAGAATTAGAAGAGGTCAAAAGTCAAGATGCATTTTCCATTATCTTCATAAATGATAGTAACATTTTATACTGGTAAACTAGGAAGCTACATGGACATCATTATTATCTATATGTATTTACTATAGTTCTTAACGTTTGTCCTAATAAAAATATTTTTAAAATAAAATGCATCTTTATATTTTAAACATCTTATTTTAAATCTTCCAGTTATCACCACATGATAACCTGATTCTCAGTCAGCCTGTGTCTTCACCTCTTCCACTGAGGCAAGTAAAATTTCATTTCTGCTTATGTTCCTCTAGATTTAATGTGAACTCAAGTAACATTGAAATGCATTGTTTCCTAGCTAAGATTTCAAATGTCAATGAAACTACTCCTTATTTATTTCTTAAGTTCCTTTTAATTAGTGATTACTACAATTTTTGAAAGAAAAAAGGCAAAATATTATAGTAGTGTTTGATATTTGTGTGTCCCTGTCATCTAGCACTTATATAAATGGTCATATATATGTAGGTAATATGAAAAGAATTCTTTTAGCTTTAATTCTCTGAAGAACATGTAAGAGTAATTTTAAATTAATACAACATGAGAAAAATTGTTAAAATTATTAAACAGAACAGAATAACGCATTTCCTGATTTTAAAAGTTCAGAGAAATTGTTTTCTCTGTAGTGTCATTTCTTAAAATTTAATTAGCTGTGTAATTTTTTTTGACAAATAGTTGCAGTGTGATTAAGCTGTTATGCAGCACATAGCTAAGGGAGACCAGCTGCCACATTTGACATTAGTTTTGTAAGAATTGCAGATTATTTCATCACTAGCTTTCAGTTTAGAGTGTGGCCAGTATTTTTTTAACCTATGAACTGAAATAAACTAGGAACTTTGATTATAAATCATTCTAATTTACCCTAGGGACTTCATTTAGGTAACAGCTTTAGTGAGCTACCACATATCATATAATTTATTCAGTTAAAGTATAAAATCCAGTGATTATATTCAGTTTTGCAGCTATCACTGTTGTAAATTCTGGAGCATTTCATTACCCTAAAAACACCCTGAACCCTACAGTTAACTTCCTTCTTTCCATCTTTACATGCACACTCAACCTACCTATGCCTAGGCCATCAATTATCTACTTCTTTGCTACATAAGATTTGCATATTTTGGGCATTTCATAAAATAGAATCAAGCTATATGTGACTTTCATAATCCTGGCTTCTTTCATTTAGTGTCTCCAGGGTTCACTCATGATGTAGCAGGGTTTCATTACTTTACTCCTGTTTATTGCTAGCTAATGTTCTGTTATATAGATACACTGTATTTATCTATTCATCAGCATTTTGGCTACTGTCATTAATGCTGCTGTGAATATACATTAGTTTTTTGTGGACATAGATTTTCATTTCTCTTAGAAAATGTTACTACTAGCTGTGCTTTATCTAGTCAAGTAAAGCCAGTTACTTAGCATTATAGGCAAGATACTACTTGGATTATTGAATAACATTATAATCCCAGTGTTTTGTTACCACTGTAGAGTATCTAAGTTAATTGTTTTATTGTTTTGCTTTATATGTGTACTTTATCACTTTGTAGCTCTTGATTTTCTATCTGTTACCATTACAGTAGTAAGGATTGTCTGTTTATAAATCTAAATTTTTTGTGGTACTCAGAATTGGACCCAGGGAATTCTGAGCTACATTACTAGTCCTTATTTTTTTATTTTATGACAGGATCTTTCTAAATTGTGCAGCCTGACCTTGAACTTGTAGTCCTTGTGTTTCAGCTTTACAAGTAGATGAGATAACTGGTTTGCCACTACACCCAGCTCATAAATCCAAACTTTAATATGTATATTTACCCTAAGGAAGTGGGCCTATAAGCTATAATTTTTCTGATAATTATAGCAGGAGATGTGCCTTGTTCACAAAACTTACATTTTAGAGCTGGGGATATAACTCAGAGGCACAGCACCTGCTGGCAAGTGCAAGGTCCTGAGTTTGATTACTAGTATAAAAAAATCTTACATTAAAGAATTTGCTTTCTACTGGAGCATCCCTTTTATTTAATTCTTTAGACATTTAGACATTGTTTATCTAGAAAATCTTTTTATATAAAATGAAGCAGATGAATTTTCATTTCTTATATTGAATGCCATTCAGAAGAATGAATGACTTTGAAACCTCATTAATTTCATTATTTCATTGTGTGTTTTTGATGCTGTGTTTGCTCTGCATAAGGGCAGTAGATAATTTAAAGTTAAGCATATAGCACAGATCACATCCTAATTGTGAACTTTAATCTTACATTAGATGTAAGTTGTTTAGATTTTTATTTTTAATTATACATTATTGTTTGATTTACAGTGGTGGCAAGTTTTCAACACTACTTCAAAATCTAGGTCCTGAAAATGCTGTGACACTACTGGTATTTGCAGTAACAGAACATAAAATTCTTATTCATTCCTTACGGCCTTCTGTGCTTACTAGTGTGACAGAGGCACTAGTGTCTGTGAGTATCATTTATTTCTTCTTAGCAATCAATGTAGTTCAAACTTACTTTACTTATATAATTTAAAACTATTATAATGTTAACTTCAGAGAGTATGTTGTTGAAATGGTTTTGTTTTAGTTATAATTATTTTATTAATTTTAATTTAATTTATTAACAAGCATTAGACTTTGAGTAGTAATATTTAAAAGAATTTTTATGTGTGCAGTTTTTTGTGATAAATTATTCTTTTTTTGATAAATTATTCTTTACTGTCAGAAAGCTGAATATTCTCCTACCCTTTGTTTGTCCAAGATGATTTTCCCTTTCCACTGGCCATGCCCGTACATTCCTCTTTGCCCACTGGCTTTAGCAGACGTCTTGAGTGCACCGTGTCCTTTCATAGTGGGGATTGACTCAAGATACTTTGATCTCTATGACCCTCCACCAGATGTCAGTTGTGTTGACCTAGATACCAACACCATTTCCCAGTAAGTATGTCTCAGTGATTCTACACCTATCAATTAAAACTTTGTAGTGGATATAACTTTGTGTGCTTTATGATTGCTAAGTAGAATTCTCTTAAGATATATTTCTTTGTTCGTATTTGGAGTAACTGCCATTTTTCTGTTAGCTCTGTGTTTCAATAGAGTAATTCAGGATATTAGAAAAAGTTTTTTTGGAAGGCAAGTATATGCCTTTAATTCTCAGGCCTTAAATATTTAAGAACCATTATAATCAGTCTTACTTAGAAACTTAACAGAAGGGAAATTGAAGGTAGAAACAAGAGCTTTATTTCCTTTTGTCCTATGAATATGAATAAAATCTCAAATTCAATGAAAACTCTATTCCTTGATTAACATTTTAATCTTATTTTGAATTGTGTGAATATTGTGACAACACATACATCACAGAAAAAATATTTTAGAACTTCATATGCATAATTTGTGTGTGTGTGTATATATATATATATTCTTTTTCTTTTCTTTTTTTTTTTTTTTTTTTTTTTTTTGGTACCAGGGATTGAACTCATGACCTTGCACTTGCAAGGCAGGTACTTAGGCCGCTAAGCTAAATCCTCAGCCCTGTCACCTTATAATCTAGGAATGTAAGAATTCTATTAAGTTTCCTATCTTTCTGTTGGAATAATATTTAAGTTGTAGCTATTGGGCAATATTTCAGATTTTTAAAATAATTTGTCTCTTTTTTTCCCCCATATTTTCATTTTTGCTGTACTTAAGCTATTCAGAGAGGGAGAATTTGATGTAACATTAGGCATTCACAGAACATACTTAAAATAACTGTGATTTAGTCTTATATGTAAAGGCCAAAAGCACATATAACTTTTCCCCCTAAATAAGTAGATGTGAAATAGTTTTTTTTTATCTGTTAAACTGTCTGTCTTGGTACTGGGGATTGGACCTATAGCTCACACATGGTAAGCATGTGTGATGTGTCTGAGCTATAGTCCCAACCCCTCCTTTTTTTTTTTTTTTTTTTTGTCTCTCTCTCTCTTTTTTTTTTTTTTTTAATCAGTACCAGGGATCGAACTCATGACCACATACTTGCAAGGAAGGCGCTTATGCCGCTGAGCTAAATCCCCAGCCCAACCCCTCCATTTTTAAATAATAGCTTTTCATTTTAAAGCATTCAATGTAATTCCAAAATTTTAGGTTCTCAGTCTTTGTCAAAATTCCATCGAAAAAACCATTAGAAAATTTTAGAAAAAATTAATATTACATTACCAAGCCATGTGTACTATCAAGAAAATTTCTATTCATAGAAGGACTAACCAAGAAAGTAAGAAATGTCTTTTGTACATAAAAACTGTAATTAAATCGAGATACAGTCTTTACCAATGATATTTTAACTTTACTAGGAATATTTAATTCTTTTAAATATTAAAGTAATAGATCTTGGTCAGTTGTTAAATGTTAAATGATATTGTATTTTATAAAATTGAAGTTGAGTTTGGTAAATGAGTATATATTAGGTTTATTATGGTAGTAAATTGTGTTTTCCTATGTGATTCTTTCTCTGAATTTGTTAAAATAATTTTTCTTCCTATTTAACTTTTATTTTCCTTATTTTGATTACTAATGAATTTAAAAATCAAAATGAATTTTCATTGATTAATATTCTTCCTTCTTAATGTTCACTGTTTTAAACTGTGGTAAAATTACTAATGCCTAACAGCTTTCTAGTGGGAAAAAAATTCCAATTATAGAATTGTTAGTTTCTATTTCTCTTTCTACCTTAGATACATACTATACAGAGTACATTCTGAATATCAAGAAGAATCTGAAAATGGGAGAAATTAGTATCTAATATGTGCTAGATATAAATTTGCATTTATAGCTTAGATTATCCTTTTTTATTCTCTGTACTGTGGACCATAGTTTTTTATTAATTCCTCTGACACATGAAGAAACTAAGCTTAGGTTTTAAGGAATAAATGCTTATTCTGTCAGAACTGGGTTTTGAAGTTATCATGGTCTGACTCTACAACTAAACCTTTTGCCATTAATTATTGGATCACTATGTAATAGTAATATAGTAGAGAGAAGACAGCATGAAAGAAAGCATAGATGGCTGTTGTACATGGGAACTAAGGTACTAGTTAAAATTCTCCTACCCAGCCACATTTTACATTGTCAGTGTAAAGGGCAAGAGGAGAAAAGTATGTATGTTAATGACAGTAATTATATTTACTAATCATATGATACTAAGGTATTTTTTATTTATATCACAGATATATCTCAACCACCTCCCTTTGCTAGTCACTGGGAATAAAATGGCAAATCAAATATATTTCTCATATATTGCTTCATGATCTACTCTGGCTAGATAGACTCTAGGTAGTCATGTATTCAGGAAACCTTACAACACAGTGGGAGTGCTGTCTGCAAAGTCTCACCAAGGCAGTGATATAAAAGCTGTTTCCACCTTGTGCTCTTACTGTATCAGGGCTCCATGCTGTTGGTCACATTATAAATGTGATAGCGTTTTCACAGTGGGATATTCAGCATTTGTCTTAATTTTTATTCTCTTTATAGAACTATAGGATAAATTTTAGGGCAATTGCTCTTTATTGGCTCAAACTTTCCTATCTACTTTTTAGTTTTCAAAGTGGTAATTGTCCTTTTTTCTGGGACAGTTTAGGGAACATTAAAGAAGAAAATAAAGAAGAAATAAAAAAGCTCAGCAGATTCCACTACTACATACCTACGCTAGTTTAGAACTTGAGTAAATTACTCAAAATCACTTTTCTTCTCATTTTCTGTGAATTTTTCCAGTTGACTAAAATAAATATTCTTTACTTTTAGATTAGAAAAAAATCTTTTAAAATAGAAAAATAATCTGATGGCCCCAACAAAGAATTAGTGAAATTCAAAAGCTTTGTAGTGCTTTATGGATTTTTCTTGTTCTACCCTGTATATGGTATTAGAGACCAATTGTGTTTTATTGTCTGTGAGGGAAGAGATTATCAGAGTCTGACCTGGAAACACAATAGCACTTCGTAGCAGCTGTCTTCCTCTGAAGTTTCTGTGTGTTATCCTTTATTTAAGTACCTTAATTTCACAGACTATTTCTTTTTTGAAAGAAACAAAAATAATTTTTCTACTTGTAGGAAGCTAGGAAATTATGTAAGTACACCAAAATATTTTGATCTCTATGGATCGTAATTTTATTGAACAGTACTGAATAATTTGCCTCAGCAACTTGCTAAATGTAAGTGGATAGCTTAAAGTGTAGAATTTAATATGAGAAAAGGACTTGTGTTACAAAAAAAGTGATCATAACTTTATTTTCTAAAGTGTTTTTACTTACAGTATATTAAGAAAAATCATAGTATAAGAAATAGCTTACACTAATAAGATTGTTAGTATATTAATATATTAATATTAGACATATTAATATATTAAGTCTAATTAAGTAATATATTAAGTCTAATATATTAAGTCTTATATTAATATATTAAGTCTAATATTAAGGGTTCCAATATTAAGTGTCTAAACACTCTTAAATGAAGATTAAAATTAATTTCTACATTAAGCCTTTTTTTTTTTTTTTTTGGTAACAGGGATCTAACTTATGACTTCCCATTTGCCGGGCAGGTGCTTATACAGCTGAACTAAATCCCCAGCCCCATTAAACTGTTTTTAATTAGGAAAATGGTTAAATATTGGAGACAAAAGAGGGAGATAAAACTAACAAAAACACATCACACTATTGGGAACTTGGCCGGGCCCCTGTTTTTCTAAATAAGAGTATGATGAAGGCTTAAATAAAGAGACAATGTGATATGACTTTGGGATCCAGGAATATCAGAACTCTCTTGGAGCTAAGACAAAGACTTCTCTAGATTATTTGTATTTATTAGGTTTCAACCAAGTGGTGGGAGAGCAGGGGGCTCAGGGGGCAGATGAGAGGGAAAGTGAAGGGAAAAGCTGAGGTAAAGGCGGCAGGGGGTGTGGGACAAGACATGGGACTGAGCAAGGCCTTGTAAAGCAGAGGAGCAAAGACACTCTAATCAGCAAATCTTGTTAATTGACAGAACTGTCCTTATCTCTTAGGTTGGCAGTTATGCTCTCCTCTAGCTGTATGTTATCTGGTATCCAGAGCACTGTGGTCAGCAGCTTACCTCTTACACCGCCCAATTCTCAACATCGCACAGTAATATATCGTACAGAAATAATTTTGACTGTTTCAGATGTGTAGTTATGTTCACAGTGAGGATAGAAGAGGGGCTGGGGATTTAGCTCAATGATGTAAGCACCTGGAGGGCAAGCATGAGGTTGTGAGTTTGATCCCTGGTACCACCAAAAAAAAAAAAAAAGTTAGACAATGAGGACAAGAATCAGAACAAACTGTGATTTAAACACCAAGAAAAGCAGACCTCAGAAGCCTAATACATTTATCCATTTAAATTGACTATTTCTAAATCTAATTATTGTATAACTGCACAATAAAGAATAAAAAGTGAAACTGCTATATTTTAAGACAAATCTTAAATACAAAGATACAAAGGGAAAATTTTAAAAATTAAATCTTGTGGTAATTAGCATGATCCCAATGCAAGTATAATATACTCAATATCAACATAATTATTTACACTTTATTTAATAGAAAGTACTACTATTATATAAGTTAATCTTAAATTATTCAGCATCCCAATTTATCCCTAGGATATTTTCCTCATTAACTAGAGTATTCTGTACATGTTTAATTTTTTTGGTTCAATGTATTTTCTCTTTCTCCTTTTTAAAACTTAGTGGGTACATATTTTGCCTCACAGTCTGTGTAACAAATACATTGTCATTGTCATTTAATCTCAGAACTGGTGACAAGAAGAATGTAGCCTGGAAGATTCTTCCAAAGAAGCCATGTAAAAATCTGATGAACACACTGAATAATTTGCACCAGCAACTTGCTAAATGTAAGTGGATAGTTTACAGAATAGAATTTAATATGAGAAAGGGACTTGTATTACTTACAAAATAATTTATCTAATAGAAAGCATTTTACAGGCAAATGAGCATTAAAGCAAAATTTGTTAGATGTTGAATGGGAGATTGCAAAATTTTGCAATTTTTGCGTATTTTATATCTAGCAGATTTTCATAGAAACATCTTAGAATAATAAAATTCAGAAGTATATTAAGGTGGTTGTTTTGCTTAACTCTAACATTATACAAATAACATGGAAAAAAATAAAAGGTTTAATTTATATGTTTTCATCATACATACTATATAAAGTTAGTTTTGAAAATCTAAGTAAAATGACTTGAATTACATTAGAAAAGGGTGATGATTTCAGCTCCCATTTTTTTTTTCTTTAAGGAGAAAAAGAAAAAAAAACAAAAAGGGTACAAATTATACAGAATTTCAGAAAAAAATAAACAGGAAATCACTAGTTAATAGATTACATATTATTATCTTATAAATAGTTGTTCAGGTTACAAAATTAAAACATATAAAGTGGACTTTCAAACAGTGAAACTGGAAACAGTTTTGTTCAATGATCCAACAAAAGTCAGTAATATGCTTATCTATCCTATACACTTAAATATATATGTAGTTATATTCTTTAGAGCACTTTCTTTTCCTTTCTTTTGTACAATGACAATTACACATTTTGGGTTTTATTACTCCCACTGTTACTACTTTTTTTTGAAGAGAGTAAAACCAAATGTGACATAACAGAACAGAGTCAGTCAAATCAAAAGGATGGACATAATAGATAATGTAAAAACAAAATACAAGGTGATCAACAATGGTTACCATACTGCCTCTTGCTATCTTAAAAAGAATTGCCTATATCATCAGTTATAATAAAATTGAACAAAACAGTAAAGAATAAAACCAAAACATTGGAGACATTACAGGGCTTTAAAAGAAGATAATAGTCAACCAGAATGGGCGGCATAATGAATTTTATTGTCTTTACAGTTGTTGCCTATACTTTCGAACTTGGTACTATCAAGCAAAGCAGAATAGAGGAAAATCAGTCAAAGCAAGATGGTGAGGGCTATACAGGGTTTCAAATCAAGTTAATAGGAAATCAAAGTAGATTACTATAATGTATCATGCTATTTTTTTCCCTTAATTAAAAAGAAAAAATAAAAAGTAAATAATTTTTAAAAAGGAGACTAAGATAAAAGAGGGCATAACAACAAAACAGCGCAGGTCAAAGCATAACCATTTAAGCAAAATAGTGTTTCACCATCCAGTTTTTTTTTAACCTTTGCTTACTTCAAATAGTTTGAAGATAAGCTTGCCAAAGCATGAATGAAATTAATCAAAGTGAAAATAGATTAGGATATGAAATATTTAGGAAAAATTGTATAAGTGTATCTTGAAAGCAATCTAGAATTACTAATACGAACAGTTAAGCCTTTATTTCTTTATTTGATTCTGTTGACATAACAACTGTGGCCCAGAGTTTTTAATTTCTTTTTTTCCCTGGGAACTTCATGCTGAGTTACATCCCAGCCTTTCTCAAATTTTAAAATTTAGAGATAGGGTATCACTTACTCACCAATTTGCCTACACTAGGTTTGAACTTTCAATACATTTACCTCAGCCTCCAAGAGTGCTGTGATTACAGGTGTGTACCACCATGTCCAACTAGTCTAATCTAATACAGTATTTATTTTTATGAAGCAAAATGGTCAGCAGTATGTAGCAATCTGTAAGATTCTCATTTGTTACTGAAATGTAAGCATAGGAAGTGGCATACACCTTTAAAGTTTCAACATACTTACTGTACAGTTAGAAATGGAATGGAAAAAGACAAGGTTTATGGAATAAATTTGATAACAAGTAAGTAACTCCACAGTAGCTTCAAAAATATTGGGATATATTTGGTTATGCGCACCTGTAATCCCAGATACTGGGGAGGCTAAGGAAAGAGGATTGCATCTTTGAGACCATCCTGGGAAACATAAGATCCTGTCTCAAAATTTTTCAAAAAACTGAGGATGCAGCTCAGTGCTCAGACACTGTATCTGTAAGGGCCTGAATTCAGTGCCCAGTTTTTTAAAAAATTTTTTAAGATATGAAAAAAATGACACCAGTATAACAAATTTATTTTTTGGAACAAATAAGTTTATACATTTAATAAGCTAACTGCTTTCTAAAAGTATTTATTCTTTTGAAAGACAGTTTCAGCAGCTATTGTAGCAATATTTAAGTATTACTAAAATCAATGAACCATTCAGCTCTAGCAAAAGGCAAAATCTTAAAGCTTAAAACTACATAGACATTTAAATAATATAGTATTAGTACTTGAATATTGTATTGGTTTCTGTCTCAGAGCACTTTCACATACATTCTTCCTTTGTAGTTATAAGCATGAGAATAAATATCAAGGGAAGTGAAGTAGTTTGTCATACATCATAGTTAACAAGGATGATGTTAGGATTAAAAACTTTTTTCTGGTTCCAAAACCTGTGTTCTTTATAGTCTCTCTTAAACAATAAAAACTGTCAAACTCTCCAGGATGATTAACTGTTCCGCATATTATAAAAAGAGTCCTTAAATTTTGGAACAATCACAAGACTTTTTTCTGATCCTTTGAGAGCAGATGCCCTGTCACCTCTGAATAGAATGTATTTCAAATCTCTTCAGTATCCTTTCTTCAAAATCAGTTCTTTGGTTTTCCTTCAACTTTTTGATCCTTTTCTTTCATTTTTCTATTTATTTATTTGTTTATTTATTTATTTTTGTGATAGTAGAATGCTTGGGGTTAAATCCAGAGCTTTTGCACTGAGCTACATTTTGAATCCCCACTGCCTTGTAATTTTGAGACAGACTCTTGCTAGGTTGCCCCGGATAGGCTTAAATTCGTGATCCTCCTATCTCAGCCTCCTAGAGTTCTGAGAATTTAGGCATGTGCTCACATATTTGGCTGTTTCGTGATACTTTTGAAGATTACACTTACCATTACAGAATGATCCATGATGTGAGTTTGAGTATCCTCATCATAGATGCAGGTCATGCATCTTTGGCAGGAATGTTGTAGAAGGGATGGTGTGTTCCTCGCATTGTTTTCTTATCTGGTGCCCTATTTCAATTTACCTCATTATTGATGAAGATACCCCTCTGATTACTTCATTAAAGTGCTATCTTTATAGGCTTATCTCCTGTAAAGTTATTCTTTTATTACCTATTGGCTTTAGCAATGAATTGTCCTGGAAGAAGGGGAGTTGTTTTTATATTTAATCCTTGTTTGTTTATCGTGGAGCCATTTTACTAAAAGTAGTGGCTTGTGGGGCAGGGTGGGTGGTGGGATGGGTATGCGAGGTTGGGGCTTGCACATTAACCCTGTGTCTAATTGATATGGACATGAACTTTTTTTAAATGGCAAACAGGAATACATTTTATTTTTAATTTGCATAAATATTCAAGAGCTTAAAAACTGATACAACGTACTTTCATAAGGCTTCATACTACGAAACTGCATAAATAGTTGAAATTATGAGTCCTTTTGAAGACACAACAAATTTGCATTGATATTATTAGAGTATTAATTTTAACAGTGTGGAGAAAACACTAATACTGTGTTTCTTCACAGTGCAGCAGAGACCAAGAGATGATGGATTAATGGATTTAACAATGAATGACTATAATTTTAATTCTGGAAAGAGGCTGCACATGATAGATTTGGAAATCCAAGAGGCATTTTTGTGTTTCATGGCTTCTATTTTAAAAGGGTATAGATCCTACTTAAAGCCAATAACACAAGCTCCTTCTGAGACAGCAACAGATGCATCCTCTCTTTTTGCCCTCCAAGGTGAGTGGTTTCATAGTTTAATAGCTTTCATTTTACTGAGCTTCACCTTGTGATGATGATTTTGCTCTCTGGGTTGTTGGTTTATATTTCTCAAAGTGCATACCTGTTTAAAGGATATGCGAATACCGATCTCTTGATTCATTTCCATATGAGTAGTTCTTTCTTTGGCACATTAAATATAATCCTATTAGCAAAATACCCAAAAGAAATTATTTGAAAAAAGAACCTCTTAGGCATATACATAATTTTTCTCTCTGTTGTGTGTTGAAATACCAGTGTAGTAGTGCCTAGGTTCATGAACACTCGTTTGCCAACAGTTTGGTTGCAAACAGACGTGTGTGGCAAAATTTTGGTTTTGGTGGCAAACTCTGCTTCTGGTGACAAATGTGACCACAGCCATTTTTCACACATAAACACAAACCTGGGCATCTTCTGTATCATGAAATAAGGAATAAATTAAGTTTGTGAGTCAAGGCACCATTGTAGTTTCTCATTTTTCAGGACAAGCAGGCAGAGGAACTCCTGGTTGGTTACCACCAGGCTTGAGCAGCCTTACTTATTTTATTACAGTGTGTTTTATAAATGTTACTGTTTGTGCCACAGAATGGGGAAAAAAAAAAAAGAAACATTGAGAAGCCCAAAAGTACAACTGCTATCTTAATACATATTTTTTTATAGTGTTCAATATTTGAAAAAAAATTTAGTAAGTACATGTTAATGCTTCCAAATGCTATGCATTGGATATTTATTAGTATGTAAAAAAGAGATACAAGTATGAAAAAAATGGAGAGGGAGTTCTGGTCTCTTTTCTCACAGGGCTTATAGTCAAAAGGATGAACGATTAGAAAATATGAGTAAATTAGTTTACAACGTTAAATTATGAAAGCCTTTTTGAAGAAAAAATGTCTAAACCATGATATCAAAGATGAATAGAAATTAGCCAAAAAGGAAGAGAGTGTTTCAGGCAGAGAAGTTTTTGTAGAGCCCTTAAAGCTGGGAAGAGATTGAGTTCATGGACTTAAAAGAAAGCCAAAAACCGTATGACTGAGCGTAATCAGTGAAGTAAAATCAGGAAATGAACTTTTACTCTGATTTGAATAAATAGGTATTTGTAATCTGGGCTACTTTGGGTCGCAGAGGCAGAAGAATTGTAGCCTCAAGGCAAGCCAGGGCTGCTTAGTGAAACTCTATCTCAAAAACAAAATAAATGATCATTAGAAGAAACATACTACTGCTTTAAAAAGATATATTGTTTATAAGGAGGGGGTGAACACATGAAGGTATGTATGTGCAAAATAATTGCAAAGAATTTGACCAAATACAGCAATTTAAAAATATTTTCAAATTCATTAGTTTATGTATAACCTTCAAGACAGTGAGGAAACAAGATAATTCTGAATGGAAATTTGAGATATCTGGGTTTATATTTCTTTCCTGTTGATTATTTCTTGGCTCATTTTCTCATTCAGGAATCTTAGCTTCTTTTTCTGAGAAACATTTGGGAGTATGGGCAGGTAGGGGTGGTATGTTGAACATGGTTTCTTCTATCTCAAAAACTATGAATCAATAAATGCTGTATGTTCTCATAATATGTATTTATGTTTCACAGCTTTCTTAAGAAGCCGGGACCGATCACATCAAAAATTTTACAACATGATGACCAAAACACAAATGTTTATTCGCTTTATTGAAGAATGTTCTTTTGTAAGTGATAAAGATGCAAGTCTGGCATTTTTTGATGATTGTGTAGATAAAGTAAGTAACAGCTTGTCTACAGCACCTAACTTATTTTGTATGACTGCTAAAATGTTATAGTTTCTATTTAAAGCTTTTCACAAAATCTGAATTCTATTTTAATAATTGACCATTTAAAATGGAAGTTGGGGTGGCCTGCTAGAATTTATAAAACATACCTTTAAGAAGAAGTATCTTGCAGAAATTTACTGACCTGTGGGTTTTAATATAAAACAGTGAAGTTTCTAACCCTGTTTGTACACTTAGAGACTAGGAATTTTTTTAAGCCTTTTAACCTCCAACTTGAGCATCCTTAATTTATAGTTTTTCTTTTTGTCTCAAGTAGCTCTCACATGCTGGTTGTGGATGTGTAACATAATTGTCTTGGGTATTTTTACTTTTCTCTGGTTGCTGGTACAAAATACCTGATGCCCAAAATTAGGGAAGTAAAGCTTTATTTAGCTCACTGTTTATGGAGGTTTCCGTCCATAATAAGCTGGCACCAAGGCAGGGTGGCATGACATTGGGGCAACACTTCAAGGCAGGAGCCAGAGCAAAAAGGAGAAAAAACAACTGGCTTCTCCTCTTTTACATTGTACACAGGCCACTCCTCTGCCCCTGCCCCCACCCTGTACTTTAGGGTACCTGTAGCACTCAGAAAACCTCTCCTGCACAGGATGAGGATATTTACAAAGTAAGAACCCTGGTTCCCTACTGAGTTTCTCAGTTAAACTTCTAAACTTCTCAAGTTTACAGTGTATCAACCATGATAATCCACCCTTTGTCAATTTGGAAACCAGACGTACTTCTTTGATATTCTTTTTTTTTTTTTTTTTTTATCAGTACTGGGGATCTAACTCACCACCATGTACTTGCAAGGCAGGCGCTTATGCTGCTGAGCTAAATCCCCAGCCCCTGCAGACATACATCTTTAAATCAGTCTCCAGATACAAAGGCATGCTTATTCTTAACATTTTGCACCTTGAACATTATAACACATTTTAACAATCCTTAAGAACCAGCATTGTCTATCAACATTATATTACATTAGAATTACAACATTTTGACCTTGGACCCCCAAAGATTCATGCACACCCTTTTATACAAAAGGCATTTAGCCCATCTGCAAGAGTTGCCAAAGTCCTAACAGTTTCAGTATTGCTGAAAAGTCCTAAGTCCCAAATCCTCTTCTAGATGCAAGGTAGACTCTCAGCTATAAACCCCTGTACAAATGAAAACAAAGTTAAACACTTCCAGCATGCAGTGGTATAAGACAAATATTCCCATTCCAAAAGGAATACAAAGGATTGGGACCAAAACAATCCAAAATCCAGCAGGACAAATGTCAGGACCTGTAGTTGCGTGTCCAGCATCTGAAGCAATCTGTGGCAAATTGTGAGCTTGTGTGATTCTGCCCCCATGGCACTTCCAGTGGTTATAGATTCCAGGACTTCTCCTTTAGGGCCACTGTGGTCAGTATTTACAGGTTTCCTTAGATGGTCTGTGCTCCTGGCTTTTCTAAACTTCTGGATTCTCCATTGCACCTTTAGCTTCATACAGCTTCATACATTGCCCTCTCGGGGGCACACTGCCTGGTGTCCTAGGCCTTCTGAAATCAGGGTGGAAGCCTTTAGAACCTTAGAATCCCTTGAATTCTGAATGCATCTAAAACCAATACCACATGCATGATGCCAAGGTCCCCTGCTAGCTGGAGCAGTAACTAGGCTTTCCTCTCCTTTGACTGTAGGAATCAAGTGCCTGGATGTCTGGGCACTCTGAACCTGATAGTGAGGAACAAATTCTCTGTGTCGTCACCATTCTGGAACCTCTGTGGCTTCCGCCACCACTCCAGAACATGGCATTGTGTGGCTTTCACTTTTGCTGTTTTTTTTTTTTTAATTTTTTTTTATCGGTACCGGGGATCGAACTCACAACCACACACTTGTAAGGCAGGCACTTATGCTGCTGAGCTAAATCCCCAGTCCCCACTTTTGCAGTTTTGAGGCTGCAAAGGGTAGAGACCTGCCTCACGTCCTATGATGCCTCCAGGCCATCTTTTTTATTTGTCTGTTCATCCTCAGCAGTTGAGATTTCAACGGTATCTTTATAGTCCACAGCTTTCTGGTCAAACTCAGAACATTGAATCATCCTGCTGCACTCTTTGCTCTTTATTTGCAATATAAATCTGGCTAAAAGCCCACAACAATAGCCATGCCACTGCCTCAATATTTGACTGCCTTGAAATTTCTTCTGCCAGATTAATGAGTCTGCTGTCCTTAATCTCAGTCTCAGGCAAAGTCTCTGGACATGAGTAAAATGCAGACAAACTTTCTGCCAACCCATAACACATCATCTGGAATCCAACAGCCAATGCAGTCCTTCTTCCTAACAGAAACCTCCCAAGCCTGGTCTTTACTGGCGGGATTTCTGTCAGCCTTCTGGTCTTATAAAACTCTGACCGGAATCACCCATTCCGAATAGCCTAAGGTGTTCTAGCTCTGTGCATTCAGGTGACATCTCCAAACCTTTCCAAACTCTTCCCACAAGCCATTCCCAAAGACTCTTGAAACATATGGTCAGATACAGTCACAGCAAGGACTCCACTGTCAGTACCAAATTCTGTCTTGGTTACTGTAGTGGATTCATAAACAATATAGGGATCCAAGCAGCCAAATTTATAAATTTGGAATTTAATTAGCTGAGCTCAGCAACCACTTGCGTGGATCCATTTCAGAGTCTTATTGAGTGGTCACAAACTGGAAAATTACAAAGCTTTTAAACAGAAAACCACAAAAAGACATCCTATTGGAAATAGTTTAGCTAGAATCTTATATTAATTTTCAGTTGACACCTGTATCTTGCTTCTTTTGTTGAGCAGGTTAATTTTTCTCTTGTGGGTACAGCTCATTCTGCTTTTCTCGTGGGACTTATACCCTGAGTAATTTTCCATTTTCCTGGGTCAAATACAGGGTACTAGTTAAATGCAGTACTCAAGATGCCAAGCCACAGCATTTACTTTTACTTTTCTCTCATTGCTGATGCCAAAAATTAGGGAAGAAACTTTTCAACTTGACAAAATGTATCAACCATGACAAAAATAGATACTTTACTATTTGTAAATAGTAAATGACTATTTAGATAATTGAGAGTGAATTAATAGGTTTAATTCTACTGTCTTAAATGCATGTGTGAAAGCATCCTTTTTCCCTTCTAGTCGTAATAGCATTAGATAAGATAGAGCTAATTGGTTTCCCATGCTGGAGAGAGAGGAGGTGGGACAACAGTGATCTAGAGAAAGGGTGTTTAAACCTGAATAGGCAAGGAAAGATGAGCAACCTAATGTTGTGTTGAAGACCAAGCCAGGTACATAGAGCATCCATGCAGAGGCATGGCCTGCATAGAGAATTAGAGAACAAGCAGGATAAAGAGAGTATGCTGTGGGAGCAGATTGTTGTAAGGCATCAGAATTTAAGTAGAATGAGAAGAATGTGCATATGGAGGGGAGGGTAATGTAGTATGGCAGAGTCTGATCAGGTAAAGAAAATGTCCCTGGGAGGGTGGGCTTGGCAAGCGCTATGTCACAATTTGATCTGAAGAGAGAAATCCTAGCATAGAAGGTATGTATTTGGTCTTCTGTGACATGAGAGAGAGAGAAAAAACAGAAAAAAGGCCTTTACCTGAGTACACAGGAGGGCTTCTGAAGAGAGGCAGGCCTCCTCAGAAGCTTCTGGGGGGAAAGCCCCCACTGTTTTATTTGGAAGTTGACAGAGGTGGGGCAAAGGGGTGGACGGAATGTTGTATTGATAGCTGATTAGAGGAACCTCTATGCGTGCACAAAAAGCAGGAAGTTTGACTTGTGAGTTTGCAAGAAAAAGGCAGAGGCACTATCTAACGCCAAAGACAACCCTCATGTGGAGAAAAACCTGTCAGTATTGGTTTGGTCTATAGAGGGTTGTCATCACCAAAGGAGGATAAAGTCTGTGTGGGGGAGGGATAGCAGTGAAGATAGGAGAATGCTTCATATGGGGGTGGGGGGTCAAATAAGTACATATTAAAGGTAATGAAGTCTTGCAGTCAGAGAGAAAAGTTATAAACACGGAAGTGGAGAAAATTAGAGTGAATTCTGAAGTGTTGGGATTGAATTGGAGGTTTGTTGTGGTATTGTTGATTTTCACCGATTGATAATGAATACAAAAGTAAGTATATGTGTCTATGTCTGTATATCCTTATATTCTCTGTCTGTGTACATTGAGAGTACCTGGAAGCAGTCATACTCTAATAGTAACGTGTAGCTGATGCATAATTTTTGCGTTCAAAGTACTATTCTCCACTAAATGAAGGAATAGTTGATTCCAGATTTAGCATAGAAAAAGTATAAGATGAACGTGTTTTGTAATGGAAAGTGTTTTGTAGTGGAAAATAAGGGAGTACTCAAGAATGATGGAGACATGATGAAAACACCTACACAGAGAAACCAATTTGAAGAAATTTCCACTTGCAACTCTGATACAACTTGAACATCAAGCATTAGTAAATTAATCTACTGAATGAAGTAGGAACCCATACATCTGTGCAGATGACAGCTGATCAGTTAAAGTCTGGTGAATGTTGTTTCATTTACCCTGTTAGTTTCTTTTTAGTTTATTAAAAAAAAGTTTTGTGCTATTACCTGTTTGTTCCTTCTTTGTAAAAATCTTTGGTCTATACTCTCGATACACAATGTAATAACTATTGTTATTCTCATTGTTTTGTTATGAAATTCTTTTATTTTTCATTTTAAAAAGTCTGACAAAGATCTGGATCTTATATAGTTACAAAATATAATCCCCCCAAATACATGTTAATGACAGTGGAGGAAAGAGTAACTGTATGATGGGAAAATCTGCCAAACATCACTTTACAAAAAGGTGACCAAACAGAACACCATCAATAACCAGATGCCTCAACATCATGTATCCCTAGTAGATGGCAATGAGACTACAGCATTAGTTCTATGAATATTCATCCCAAAGATAGCAAGC